TAATTACTGAAAAACCTACAGTACTTGCTTTAGCCTTTTAACAATCTGCAAGCACAGCAAACTCAAATCACACTACTCTCAACATAGATCATTTTTTTTAAATTACATTTAAATAAAGAACAGAATGATGTGGCATTTCAGTATTTCCCTTCTCCCACTGTAAATTGCCCATTACATTTTAAAGCCAAACCTCATATTCTTACTTTAGGAAAGATCACTTCAGAGTAGGCCTGTAATTTATACCACATCCCATAATTACATGATACAACTGAATTAAAATTGTCATTTTCCTGGAAGCAACTGCAAAACTTAAGCTAACTTCATATGTACAACTGATATATAATTTCTGAATGCATTTCCAGTTAAAGTGTGACAGCTGGATTACTCATACTCAGATTGTGCCAGATAACACTGTACAAAGCTACAAAAGTCTTTCAAAAACGGTACAAGTTGAATCAATCATGTCTCTAAAAAAAATGCTTGTTAAAAAAAAGCTAGCTACTAATCAAACGTTGTCAGCTAACTAAGATGTGACAAATCCCTTCTTTTCAAAACAATCCCTCAGTTCATCAGGCAACTAAAGTTTTACAACTCTGCAAAACACTGAATCATTGGGATCCAACCAAAATTGCTCCTCCAGGCTGCACTACACGCTTGTAACTTCAAAACCTACAGAGACTAACAGACAAAAATAGTAAGAAATTCAGAGCAAATCTCAATCCATGTTATCTTATGCTTATTTGAATCTTTCAGAACAGAATTTGTATTTCTTGAAAGCTGTATTCAGTCCATGCTGCATTTACAAGATGCTTTGTCTAAGCTTTATGACAAAATGTAAACACATTCTTCAATGTATTCTGATGCACAATGTTTCCTATTTCAAAGTTATGTGCACGTTAAAAGTTGATTTAAGTCTACAAAATAAAAAGATTTAAGTGCTGGAGTATTGCACCCACGCCTAAGACCCCCAGGCACACAAGAAGCACCTGGAACACAACCACAAAAGGGTCACAAGGATGCTCAGAGAGCGTCTCTCATATGAAAGCAGGCTGAGGGAGTTGGGCTAGTTTAGCTTGGAAAAGACTCGGGGGGGAAACCTCACTGCAGCCTTCCAGTGCTTGAGAGGAGCCTTATAAACAGGAGGGAGACTGTGATAGTGATAGGCCAAGGGAAAATGGCCTCTAAATCAAAAGAGGGGGAGATTTAGGTAAGATATTAGGGGGAAATTTTTTACTCAGAGGTTGTTGAGGCACTGGTACTGCTGCTCTGACAAGCTGTGGATGTCCTGTCCCTGTAGGTGCTCAAGGCTGGGCTGATGGGCCCTGGGAAGTTTGAGCTGGTGGGGAAAGGGGACAACCTGCAAACAGAAAAAAGCTGGAACTGTGTGGGCTTTAAGGTCCCTTCTCAAGCCACACTGTGATTATATGATACCATTAAAAGACTGATAAATGAAATAGTAAGACCAAAGATACCTGAACTAGTCCACATTACATACAGTCTAGAGAAAAAAGCAGTTTACAGTTTTTCACATCCGGGGGAGACAAAAAGAGAGCTCCTAAATTTAACAGGCACACACACAAAAAAAAAGGAAATAGGCTATAGCAAGACTTCTACACTTTCTCAAGCTGCCAGCTCAGTTTCCACAGAAGACTCAAGATGACCAGATCAGTGAAAACAGCATAGATCTGGTCATACAACACCTGCAGGGCAGACCTTCAAGATATAACTTGTAGCTGTGAGGTTATGTCCTATATGTTGGTCACAAAGAAACCATAATATGTAACCACTCATCTCTGAGGAGCCAACTTTCAGACTCTCCTCCAGACTAAGTACTCTAGGACAAAATAGAACAAAACGTTCTCCTTATCACTGAAGATTCAGATATCTGCTCATAGGTTTCAGGAGTTATCAGAGAAAGAAAAACATGGAGGATTTTTCACTGAAAGCTAAATCCAGCACTTAATAACCTATACAGAATTTTACATTTACAGAGGAACATTTACAGTTTACCTGCCATTCAAACTCGCTGTCTGACCAATCCCAGTATGTGCTGATAGAGGAAGAGACATCACTGCAGACACTGCCTTCAGGGAACAAATCAAAAGAGGTGAACTCCTGGTCATCCAACAGAGAATAGCAGTCATCTTGGTCACCAACTGAAACTGAGGAGAACAGCTCCTCACTGCACTCTGAGCTGGCCACGCTAGTTCCACAAGAAGTCAAGTTCCATCTGTAAAGCAGGACAAAACAATCAGAAAGTAGCAACTATATTGGCATCACGTGTCCTGAAAAACATTTAGTTCTCCTAGGGCTCAAAATATCATCTCCACTTTGCTTGTCAGCAACATGACTACATTCACACTGAAATACACTTTAGTTATTTAAACAGAAGTAATCTATTTTTTCAATATTTTAAAAGGTCCATAAACAACACAAAAAACAGCAAGGCAAAAATCCAAACAAAGATACTTATATCTTTATTGCAATGTGTTATCTTTCCATCTCGGAGTGATGAATCCCACAGCGTGTACATTTTTTGCCTTTTTTTGTTTTAATTTTTAATATACTAAGGTTTCCTATAACTATCACAAAAAATTGATTTCCTCCTTAGTTTTTCTTATTTCAATTAACCTTTTGGAAAGTACAACACTCACTAATCTACATTCCAACTTAGAGTCAAGAAGTAATTCTAGGATGACAATCCCATACAAAACTAATATTTAACTGGAAATATAACATAGAGAGAGCTGAGGCTTCGTTATTCACTGTTTTCAACTCTGAATTGCAAAAACAGACACGTCCAGTGAACATGTTGTTACAATTAACTGCAAGATGGAACCCAGACGTATGAAAATGCTGCTACGCCAAATCAAAACACTTTTTTCCTCATGTTTAAAAAGAGAGTTAACTTTGCTGCTGAAGTAAAATGACTGAAGACTCAGATTTCACAGAATGTATTTCCTGGGAACAAGCCAGAATTTAACAAGCTCACGAAACCAGCCTCCATATCTGGATTTATATTACACATTGGTAAAAACTAGGTCGAGACAACTATGAGTCAGCACAGCACTGCAATACAGCCCAAACTATTTGCAAAAGCTTTAAAATTTACCATACAAATGCACATAATATATTTTCATTCCATTAGTATACGCACTTCAGTCTGGCTAACCAGAGAAACACCTTCTTATCCAACTGCAAAAGCTGAGCAGTGCCATAATGCAGACAGGCTGCTCCCCACCATTATTATTTATGCTGCATACCTGGCTGGCTGTTTGCAGTGGACTCACTTCCACATCTCTTTGGCAAGCATGAATTCACCCGACATTGAAGGCATTCCACAAACTTCTCTTTTAGAGCATTCATGAGATCCTACTCTCCCTTTCTGTATCCCTTACCCATGTGCTATGTCATACTGGTACAGACCTTTGCAGGCAAGATAATCAATCCACGTATAATAGAATAGAAGAGAGGTGATAACATAATTCTGAACATTACAATTTCAATATTCATTAAACACTGAGGAAGGAGGGAGAGCAGACAGTTTCCAGACCTATGAAAGCACAGGGTGAGGTATAGGGACTCTAACACTAACCAACCACGCAGGCACACCAGATATGCAGCAGCATCACTGCAGGTGTAGGCAGTTACCTCACACACAGGGAGCCTGCTCTTCTTGCTGGGATAAAGCAGGTGAGAAAGAAGGAACTGCCACTTTACAATTACTTGTGGCTTTGATGCATGGAAAGCCCTTGGGAGCAACAGCTTAACTCAATGCAATGCAGTACTGACTCAAAATGCCTTTTGTACCTGGGTTTGTAAAATGAGCAAGACTGAAAACAACACCCAGGAAGCACAGGCCCACAAAAAGAGAAACACAAAACAAATGCATGGTATCCCCCAAGCTAGCATTTAGTCAACAAATAACAAGCACCTTACCATCCCTGTCACTATTAGGTCTTAGGATAAAATCACTGTATCACAACAACTATTTATCAATATTTCTCATACTGAATCATTTAAGAATCAATAACTAAAAACCCGCCCCTCTGAAAAACACTTTTGAAACGTTATTTCACACTTCACATTATCGCTTCAACAAATTCACTTGAGAGACTGTCTGTTCATTTTGCTATAGTAGAAACACTAACAACCAGTGCAAGCATTTTGTAACACTGGAATGGGAACTAAAACTACCACACACCTGCCAAAGACTGAAGTCTCACAAACAATTCTCGTAAAAGCTACAGCTGTACTCAAATTTAGTTCCACACATACTCAGATGTTAAATTAGGCAAGCAGGGCTGTTGGGCTTTTATTTTTCAAGTACAACCGGCATTTCTTTAAAATAGGCTATCTCTACAAACTACAGACCGAAGGATTTGCCCTTAGTTAGCAGCACAGGATAGGAGCGCTACAGTCACCGAGCTCCTGACTCACTCGCAACCTCCGCAGGCTTGCTGGTGTCGGCCTCTGCTGATCTGAATTACAACAGCCACAGCTCACCCCAGGTGCCCGTTCACAGCGCTTTAAAAAAAAAAAAAAAAAAAATCGGGAACAACCCGCGCGCCTCAAAGCCCAGCAGAGCCCACACCGGTCACCGCACACAGAGACCAGAGCCACGCGGCTCCCCGGCCCGCACAGAACGGGGCACGGCCTCAGCGTCCGGGCAGCGCCTGTCGCCCCACCGACCTATTGGAGTGGAAGCGGTGCAGCGGGTCGGTGCGGTGGCAGGACGAGAGCTGGCAACCGAAGTCGCTGACATCCAGGCACCCCTCTTCGCTCAGGCTCCCACCCCGCGGAGGGTGCTGGTGAGAAAGGAGCGGGCACGGCTCGTCGGGAGCCAGGAACTTCTCGTACAGCTCTTCGGTCATGGCGGCGGCAGGCGGGCGCCTCACGCACGCAGAGGCCGAGCCGCAGGCGCCGCCATGAGCGGCCGCCGGCCGGAAGTGACGAAGCGCCGGCCGGCCTACTTCCGGCGCGCCGCCACAGCACAGCGCCCCCTGCCGCGCCGGAGGCCGAGAGGCGGCCCACGCGTGGGGCCGCGCTGCCATGGCGGCGGTGGGCAAGGCGGCGGGAGCGGCCTACGGGCACGGCGAGAGTGGAGGCGGCGGCGGCAGCGGAGGCTTCCTGGGGCCGCGGTTGCCGGCCGAGGTGGAGGCGATGGCCCGCGGCCTGCAGGAAGTAGACAAGGAGACCTTCCGCCGCCTGCTGAAAGGTACGGCCCGGCCCCGGCCTTCTCAAGCAGGGAAGGGCGTTCCGTGCGGCGCTCGGCCGTTCCGCGATGCCTGTCCCCGCGTTTCGGTGCCGCGTATTCCGCAGTTCCCTACATTCCACGAGAGTCGCCTACAGAATCAGAATCACAGAGCCATAGAGGATAGCAGGGACCTCAGGACCTCCCCCAGTCCAACCCCCCGACGCAGTTCCCTCCAGCAGTGGCACAGCAACCCACCCGGGTGGGTTTGAGTATCTCCAGAGAAGGAGAACCCCGCTCCTCTGTGGGCAGCTGTGTCACGCTCAAAGTAAAAAGGGGTTTTCCTCATGTTTATATGGAATTTCATGTGTTCCAGTTTCTGCCTGTTACCCCTTGTTCTGTTGCTTCACATTACTGAAAAGAACCCGGCCCCATCTACTTGACTCCTGCATTTTTTATGTACTTATGGGATTTATAAACAGCGAGGGGATCTCCTCACAGTCTCCTCCAGGCTGAATTGGAGGCTGTCAGACTTTCCCCAGGAGGAAGATGCTCCAGGCCCCTCATCATCTTTGTGGCCCTTCCCTGGACTCTCTCTAGAAGTTTTCTTTTTGGACCGAGGAGCCCAGAACAGGAAATGGTTTTAAGTTGAGGGAGGAAAGATTTAGGTTGGAGGTCAGGAGGAAGTTCTTTACTATGAGAGTGGTGAGGAGCTGGAACAGCTGCCCAGAGAGGCTGTGGATGCCCCGTCCATCCCTGGAGGCGTTCAAGGTCAGGTTGGATGGGGCCCTGGACAGCCTGGCCTAGTATTAAACAAGGAGGTTGGTGGCCCTGCATGTGGCAGGAGGGTTGGAGATTCATGATCCTTGAATTGTCCTTGACCTTGAATGGTTCCAACCCTGGCCATTCTGTGATTCTGTGACACAGCTCCAGATGTGGCCTCACCACGGCACAGCAGAGGGCAAGTGTTTTCTTTGACCTGCTGGCCACGTTCCCTGCATGCACCCCAGGGTCCCATTGGCCTTCTTTTTGCCACAAGGGCACGCTGCTGGCTCCTGATCAATCTGTTTTCTACCAGATACCCAAAGTCCTCGGAGCTCCTTTCCAGCAGGTCAGCCCCTATCCTATGCTGGTAGGGCTGTGATCCTGCTGTGCTCATCCTTTCTACTAACTGTCTCCCAGGCTTTTTCCTCATTTTAGTCAATATGAACTCAGAGTATCTGGTAGCTAGCATGTTGGTTTTTTGTTTTGGTTTGGTTTTTTAAGTCTTTAAAAGCATTACTGCATATTGCCAGTAATGAGGCAGTGTAGCCAGGATTTCCTTATGGCATCTGAACGTGATAAAGCTACATATAGGGACAGAAGTTTCTGCAGACGTGGAACTGTACTTGCTGCCTAGTGCTGGGACAATGGAGGGTAAAATCTTCTGTCGGTGCCGGGAAGCCTGACCGTCCCCTAAACGCTATGAGGGATGGCTGAGATTAGCAGCCACGTTTTGGTGTGTCATGCCTGCTTGCTACCCTAGGGGGAGCAAACAGTCCTTCGGATCTCAGGGTAGAGCAAGTAAACAATGCCGTATTGGGTCATTACAGTGCTCGTGTTCGCCGCCGGGAGGGTGGGTTTGTCGGTCCCTGTAGGGCTGGCAGAGGCATCCGCGTGTCTTCTGGTCGTGATGATCTGTGATTAGCAGCTTGCAGAACGCAGCAGGTCTTGGATTTCAACAGGCTGTGTCGAAATTGCTCCGGTGCTTGCACCAAGTTGTCTTTTTGAGGCTGTTGCTGTCAATTTATCACTAAATAATAATTAATTAAAAAATCAGATGGTGCTTCATGTGCCTGCTTGGTTAAAGACATAAGAACTGTACACACCATTATTTCAGGGTTATCCAGTATTGTAGGCTCTGCTAAAATAGAACTTTGTGACCTCATGTATCTTCTACTGGGAGCAAGTGGCTTAGCAGAGAGACTTCTTTGGGATGTTTTTTGGATTGTTCTCCCTCCATTTGACTGTTAGAAATGCTGGGTCAGCTGATATTTCTGTGTTCCTTGAACAATTCTGAGTAAAAAAAAGTCTTGTACTCTAAGGCAAAGTGAGTAGCTTTTAAAAGAAGACATGGATTTTAACCAGTTGTTAAGATTGGTTAAGAAGACATTGTCATAAAAGCTGTCTAGACAAATTGGAGCAGTATTTAAATAGGTGAGTAGTAATCAGCAACCTGTGTCCTCTCTGCACATGATGCAGTAAAGAGGCCTCAGTGCTGATATGCACTTGGCTTTTTCAGTAAATCGGATTTTCTTCCTCTTCTGAAAGGGAGTTTCTTTGTCTTAGAGCAAAGCCTTTTTCAGACAATGAGGGAAGCTTGGTGTTAGTAGCTCCCTGCCCATCCTAGCTAAGCTGTGCAGAATGTGCACTGTGATGGCGCTGGGCAAACTGAGTCAGCCATGTGAGTGGTTCAGGGCTCATCACTGAATTTGACGTGCCACACCAGTTAGTAGTATGGAATATTGCTGCATGGATTAACAGTCATTTCCCTCAAAGCAGTATTGTTGTGCAGACTACAAGACATGAAGGTTTATTTTTGCCTCCTTGCTGTTTAATCGTTAGTCTCTTCTGCTATTGAAAGATAAATTATGTGCAAAGCTGGAAAACAGTGTTGAATTGTTTACTGTCTCATTGCTTTCAAACCTGTGTATAAGATTATTAAATTGTAAGCCGGCTTCAGATGTGAAGAACTTTAATGATAGAAGCTCAAGTCAGTCCTGAACTCATGAGCAATGAATTTTTATTAATCTTAATTCCATTGTCCCACTGGAACATATTCCACAGTTAAAACATCTTCAGTTTCAAAATGCAAAATCTTAATATGTTGAAGTTCTCTTCCTAAAGTGACTGAGCTGTGGTGGAGGATGATCTGATAGATGTCTTTACAGTGACTTGAAGAACAAGTAAAATCGTGGGTATAGGAAATGTTCACTATCACCAAGTCTTCCACTTTTTAAAGGGATTTTGCATTGTTTTCTTATTCACAGTCACTGTGAATGCATTGGAAGGAAAAGACTGCAAAGAATCAGTCAAGCTGATTGCAGAAAGCACCAATCTCTCTGAAGAGCAACTTGCTTTCCTCATTTCTGGCATGTATACCCTCCTCCGAGAAGCACTGAGACTCCCCTTATCGACTTTCAAACAAGAAGTAAGTTGTGGGAGGACCCAGAGCCCTAATCAGTTACGGTTGTGCCACATGTGAGTTACCATCTAGCTGCTGTTTGCCAGAGTGAGGAGCTCCACATGAAGATGTTGCTCCATGTTAGAGCAGTTAGAAGAAACTGTTAGAAAGATAGAGATTTTTTTGCTTGCATAGATTTACAGTGAGCTTTTCAGAAGAGTGTTTATTAAATCTACAGGAAAGAGATTACTGTATCTTTTTCTGCTTCAGCATCTTGTTTACTATGCATGTTTATTAACTCCTAAAGAAACCTTTGCAAAGTGTCATTTCATTGGCATCAACTCTCTTTCCTACCCTGTGTGTTCACATATATTGTGCTTATTGTTTACTCTTACAGACAAACAAATATGAGAAATTTTATGTCTTCATAGCTCTACCGTAAGGGAAGGAAGGAGTTATGGTCAGAACAATGTAGTGGGAACTGGGATAAAGTGCTGTTTCTGTTTATGCTATAGATGTTCTCTGTGAATGTGAATATACCTGCCATGGTCCTGACTTGTATTCCCTTTTCATGGCTATTTTCTTTTTTTTATGTTATATTCTCTTACACTTTTCTGATTTTATTTTTATGTGAGCAAACCTCTTCTGAGCTTCTGACACCTGTCTCTAGTTAGCAGACTGTGTCCTTATTGACCCAGGCATACTGGGAAAACACACATTGCAGGAAACAGGGAGACAGTGCTCATCTTTTGTCACTGCCTTTATGTTGTAGTTTAAACAAGTTACTGCAAAGCATAAGTGAGAATATGGTCATGTAATTGTTCTAAAGACAAATAGTGTTGTGAATAGCTACATGAAAGAAATGGCTGGGGTACAGCTTTCAAAACATCAAGTCTTCTGAGAAATTTAAGCCTTTAAAATTAATTTCTCACAAATTAATTTGAACGCTTCTGGAAATTCTTTCCAATGAGTAATCTGTCATTTCAAAATTACTGGCATTTGAGACTAAAATTTTTGGGTGAGAGATAGAAAGCAAGTAGCTACTGTTAATTCACTTGGTAAGAAATTGTCTTTCATGACTATATCCTGTAAAATTTCACCTTCTTTGTCTTTCTAGATTTTCAAGGAAGACCTGAAGGAGCTCAGGTATGCCTGTTAATGCCTGGTTTTTTCCTATCTGTTTGTTTTTCATAACTTTTATGTAACTGCCTTCCCAAGTCAACTTTTTTACACAACTAAGTTGGTATAGAAATTACCTGTAAATAACACATAATGCATGTGTTGCAAAATGTCATAGAAAACCAGAGGGAAAAAAACAGGTGTTGTGTAAGATTTGATTTAGCACTGAGCATGAGCAGTAAATTTTGCATGCTGAGGAGATCGGTCTAATTTAGTCTGTAATGTAGGTTATGCAAATGTGAGTGACCTTCTCTTTGCCATCCTCACCTTGCCCTGCAATATTTTTTAACATGTTTGGTAAGACAGTGATAACATTTCAGAAGCTAAGAAACTGCCCTACTTTTTTTCTTCTTTGAAAGGCCAATGATATAACACTCAAGAAATGCTACCACCTTGTTCAGCTATGATCTCTTCTGCCAGTTACCCAACTGTTCAGAGTATCTGTGAATAGAAGTTTGTATTCTAAAAGCCAGATGTTAGATAGTAATGATCTTTATAGTCTTTTCCTACTTCCATAGTTGGTTGTAACAAGAGAATAACAGCAGTTGATGCTTTCATCTGTAGAGAAACTTCTGCACCAAGGTTCAAATATTTTAAAATACTAATTTCCTCCAGTTCTTTGCATTCTGATTGCTATCTAGGATATAGAGATTTCTACTTCCTTCTTTTCTCATCCTTATTTATCCATTAACCTGCAGATTGTCTTCTTTCTCAGATCAGTCATAAGCATAAGTTACTTCATGAGCAACTTCAGGTAGCTCAGGTTTAGATGGATGCAGATGGTGAGTTGGAATCAAGGCCATGTTGAACAGTGCCGGGTTTGTTGATTTTTGTCTGAAGCAGAGAGCTGGACTTTGGCTTTCCTTTTGGCTTAGGAGCTAAAAGGCAAGCTGCTTCCTCCAGTACACTGCAGTGTTCACACCCAGGTTAAAGTCAGTCAGTAAGAAACTGATGAAATTCTTCTGGCCCAGTGGAAGTTGATGTTTTTTGAGGTGCACACAGAATGTGTTTAATGTGATTATGGAATAATGAAGAGCTTCAAAAGCTCCGTGGCAGTTTTCTGGGGGTAGGTGAATATTCCTCTCTTGAACAGTGGAGAAAGTCAGTATACAGGAGTGTCAGAAATCACTGGCTGGGCTGGCTGTGTACCCTGTATCTGGAAATTAAGATTCCTGATCCTCTGTCCTTGTCATCTGACCATGCTTCAATGCCTTACACTTTTGTATTGTTTTTTGAACTTCATGGATTATGCATGGAAATACAAAAAGACTTTTCAGTCTGAATGATCTTTTCTCTCTCCGCTGTATTGTGTTAAATCTTTTGTGTTTTGTTGTTTTGGTTAACCTGACTGATACAGCAGCAATAGGTCAGGTATCTGCATTTGTGCTGCTTGCACTCATATGTTTTATGTGCTGCTCATTGTGGCTTATATGCTCCCATGATTGTTGGAGGTTATTTGGACTCTAACAGTCTTTTTTTTTCTCTTGAGTAGCTCTCCTCACCTTGTGGCTGAGCTTGCAGAATAGTAAACAGCTCATTCTACTCTCGAGTTATGGCACTTAGTAAATGCTACCACCTTCAGCACCTTTGTTTCTTCTGGGAAATGTCAGCTTCTATGTTTCCCAATACAGCTGGGCCTGAATGTGAAATGTTTGCATCTACTAATTACATTCAGACTTTTATCCTCATGCTGTGACTCCTGCTGGTCATCCTGTGATCATGTGCACGAAGAACACACAGAATTAACTGAGAAGCAGTGTCTTAGCATTATTGGCATCCAGTGTTTGGGCAGGTATTTTGCATTTTAAGGCAGAAAAATGCATATTTCTTATTTTAATTTTCTTTCGAATGTGTCTTTTAAGAGGATTGAGATCTGAGCTAGGTTACCTGTTTTCATTTCTCATTCATAGTTTGTTCTTTTCAGTGAAGCTGAGAATTAGCCTAATTCCATCTATACAAAGTCTTGTCTTCTCAGTTTCCTGGTGGTGCAGCTGATATTGGCTTCTAGTTTTACTGGAAAGCAAGAGGCTGGGAACCATGCTCACTTGCGGTGAATTAGATCGTTACTACTGGTTTCATAGGATTGCCATACTGTAGCCTATATTTTTTTGTCCTGACTAACTCAACCAGTGAGAATGAAATCATACTAAATTTTGGATGCTATTTTTTTCCTTCATTTAATAACTTTCTGGCTCAGGACAGTAACATGGGATTGAGACATCCTTACAGTAGGTCTTATTCTCAGAATGTTCCTTTGAAAACTGATAACCACCTGTACCTCAGGCCTGAGCTGCACCATGTTCTGTGTCTAACCTGCTTCGTATGTGATAAGCTGCTTGAGTTGGGAACAGAATTTTCAGCAAAATCATTAATTTCAGGGCAAAAATAACACAAGCATAAAGGTAGCATTAATGCTTCTATTTTAGTGACCTGCAGTCTTACAGTCAAACAAGTATTGTGATAGTTATCACAGTAATTGTATTATAACCCCCCTTTCTTCAGCTTTTCTGCTACATTCAGAGGCTATTTGGTGGGTTAAGTGATATGTTTGTACAGGTAGTATAGCTAATGCTTGCAGAAACTCTCATCTCTTTGAAGAGACACATGCAACTAAAAAATCAGTCTCCCCTCCTCAGTTCCTGGTTTGCCTCAGCTGACTGGCTTCCTAGTATGAATTCAGTTCTATCCAAGTACTATTTAAAAACCTGTTTAAACCCCACTTTTTCTCAAAAGGGTTCAAACTCAAATAACTGCTACTTCATTTTTCCACTGTGTGAGTTGATGAGTTGCTTTTTTTCCCCACACTGTAAGCCCTTTAGGACAGGTAACTTCTTTGTTTGCTTTGATTGTCTTTGATAGACTGCTGTGTATCTCAAGGCAGTGGTGAGTAATGTCTCAGGGCACTGCTTGGATTTAACTGTTGGCAGTGTTGGATTAAACTGTGGCAGCTGGAGCAGTTACTTCTTCCACTTGTCCAGCATGCCTCTCTGTAGGAGGTTACTGTCTCTGTGCAAAGGCAGCTGAACAGATAATGTTTGCTCTGCAGTCTTTGCAGCTCACAGCCTGGTATATTGAACTGGAAATCAGCAACAGCTTATTTGTAAAGCAGGAGCAGCAGCAGAGGAATAGGGTAAAGTCATGGAGTGCAAAAGGCAGATGGAGTGAGTTAGTCTGTTCAGCTTGTTTTAATGGGCTCATCAAATTTATCCTTGCCTTCCCCATGTTGGATATGTTCCTCTTTGTAAGTACTCTTAGCTACAAGGGCTTCTGTTTTTACTTTTGAGGGAGCAAGTCATTCTGTCTTCTTTTCATTGCACTTTTAAGGTGAAAGTGAAATGAAATGTATAGGCTTGGGATGTTCATCAGTGTGTGTTGTCCATCTGCCTTCTGTGCTTGTTAGAGCCATCAGTAAAACTTCTTTACTAAGAGAAATTAGGCAAATACAGGGTTCTTCTGAAACTCACTGTTGCCATTTTAGGTAGTACAGGAAGTTGTAGCACAGCTTTTAGGGTTCTTGTGAAAACAGCCTGTCCTCCTGAGAGCATAGACTGAGTCAATACTGAAGTGCTTACATAAGAGATGATGGCAATTTTAAGCAATGCAAAATGGAAAATGTTGATACTATTTTTATGTTCTGCAATAGGTTTTTGCAGCTAAGCCCATGTATTTGTGGTTACAAAACACTTATCTATTTTCTGTTGCTCTTTTCTTTAAGGATACCAGAAGATTTCATCACGGACTTTTCCAGTATTATCTTTGGTAACAGGTCAGTATTTTTGTGTATCATGCATTGTGCAGCCCCGCAGATACGCATATTCCAGGCCTCTTGAAGAAACAGCAAAATTCTCTAAACTCATGAGAGAAAGATTTGTCCCGTTATTTGGATTCAGTTTAAGTATCTATAATTCATGCCTATCTATGCAGTAAGTAGCTTTCATGGAAAAAAAAAAATTCCATTTTTTTCTATGATCATCACCAGTTTTTAAATATTCTCTGTAAAATGAATCATTACCTACAGATGAAGAGTAAATTGCAGAATTAAGTGTTCTTATCATCATCATCATTGCAAGTTAGAGCAAAAGTGAAAGGCTTGCTTTGTTGAGAAACAAGCAATAAGCATCCTTCTACATGCTGTGATTTGTAGAAACTTTCTCAGACAGCATTTAATCATGTTTTAATGTACAGCTGAATTCAGACTGAGTGACTTGATGATATATGAGATATCATCTGCTCTACTAGCTGTTACTCATTCACCAAGCAATATACCTCCTTACCTTCAGACTGTGTACCGGTCAGAAACTTCTTGAAAAGGCTCTCTGCTTTTCCTTAGAGGGATTCCCTTTTTTTCCTACTCTTTTCTACTCCATTGTGTTCTCTACTCAATTATATTTATTTTCCTCTGTATGTTGAATTGCTTGAGCTTCTTGCATGTGTAGAGCTTTCCTCCTTGAGAGGTGAGGTCACTCAGCACATGGCATCACCAATCTAGAGCTGTTTCAGATACACTGGCAATCATTGCTTTCCCTCACAAGGGTATGAATGCTGTTACCAACATTTAAAATATTTTTAATTTCCTTGATTAAAATCTTACTTTAAAATGAATGGCTCTTGGGATAAAAAATAAATTCAGCCTTCTCATATTTTCTTTGTTATTCTGTTTGAATTATAGGTGTGAAAGAATGCAAAATTCATGGTTGCAAAATGGAAATACTGTTTGCAGTGAAGAACGAAGTTAAATATAGATGTCATTTGAAGCATGCATGATTGTCTGTTTTCTACTGTGAAATCACGATGCTGGAAAATATGGCTTTTTCTCATTTCAAAAGCTGTGATTATCCAGTGTAATCTTGCTCTGTGTTTTGAGATCAGAGAAGAGCACCTCAGATTTGATTTCTAGACAGATCTGCTTTTATAGTTTTAAGTGTAGTAGTGAATCATGCATATGCTTATTGAATTGTAAATATATATGACTGTGGTGATAAGAGAAGTATTAAGCAATAGCATCTGATCAAAAATTCACTATGAGCTAGATAACCCAGAAAAATCAATTTCAGAGTTTTTAATACTTTTTCTGCCATCTTATCCTATTTTTGACATTTTGTTCATTAAACAACAACTCTGAAGTGCTGGAAATTTAACATTCTTATTTCTGTTTCTCCATAGTTCCATCAAACTATATAGACTGTAAGGGAAATAAAACTTGGCACATTCACACCATCAAATAAGCGTATGAAATTAAAACTTTTTTTTAAGAGACAGCATAGCCATAACTTCCCCCACTTTGAATGTTTATAGTAAATGTATTGCGTATTTTTTTAGATAGCATAGCTTTAGCTTCTTCCAAGAGTAAGCATTCTGTGTGCCATTTGACACATACTAATTTATACATTTTCTCTGTTCAGTGGCCTGCTGGGCTGTATGATTATGTGCATCACAACCCATTCCAAATTTGTCTCCAATTTTGATATTGTTATGTCAGTTACTGCTCCAAATTCGCAAATCTTCCATCTTCAATTGCTCTGTTGCATCCTTTGGCTGGTGATGTTCTCGTCAGCAGGCATACCATTTTGGATGTTCTGTAATTGATCCATATTGCTTTACTCATTCTAACTTGTGTCTTAGGCACTGTACATGGGGTGGCAGTGTATTGCAGCTGTTGGCACGGAGAGTTTGTAAAATGTAGTTTTATTGCATAGGTTGTGGATACAAGGTTCATTAAGTCGTCTTCTGCTCCATTTTGCTACTCCTCTTGGAAGCTGATGGTTTGATTAAGGGTTTTTGTAATATCTGTGTGTATGTTGGCCACTATGCACACTGTCAGCCTTACAGGATTCTTGCAGTTGTAATCCTCTCCTCCCTGAGAAAGTGCTGACAGAAGCTGAATCTGAGATATAAAAACTGTGACTCTGAGGAGCTGGTATTGAAGTGCAGTCTATTTTGGCCACAGAAATGCTATAATTTAACAGTCTCTGGACACTACTGACCTTTCCCATCACTACTCACTGTAACATCTTCCTGTTATCTCTGTTCATTCTGTGCCCAGTGCTGCTGCTACACTGAATGGATTGTCCTCCATTGAAGGGAGTTAGTGTGTCTTAAGGATGCAGCAGCAGTGTGGCTGTTTTTAGGCATTTCCCAAATTAAGCAATGCTCTGGCAGCAACTCACCACTGAGCGAAAGGCCTGTTCTTATTGTTTAATCCTGCTAATGACCATTCTGGTCTGTGACTCCTTATGGTTGCTCCCAGCTGTGTGACCTACTTCCTATTCAGTACTGTGCAGTGTGTAGGAACCCGCTGATCTATTTTCTCTGTTCGTTACTTTGTTGTACCATTGGGATGTATGTCACTTCTGACCAGCACTGCCCCCCCAAAAAGGAATACATTCTTTCTTATACTACTTTTGCTAAATGCGAGAGTATTGGAGGATCATAGCTTATCAGTATTTGGTACCTTATCAAATCATTAATCTTTCTCAGCAGTTTCTAAAAGGACTGGCTCACTTGCACTAAAGAGTCCGAGTTCCTTACAGTCCCAGATTTGTTCAGAGGGGATTCTTTTCTGAGGTAAACTCTGTAATTAGATTATGTCTAGCACCATGGATAAAGGATGTAATGTTTCTTATCCTGCCCTTAGCTGGAGTAGCTTTGAAATGTACCGTAAATAACTACCAGAGACATGGGATACTTAGCAAAAAAATAATGATGTAAGTAACACTTAAGTCCAGTCTGTCCTCCTAATGGACCAGCTGAATGATGTCATTCTGAAGGTATTCTCTTTGTATATCTAAATATGGGTGATTGTTATGTCTTTGTATTAGATTTGGCTTGTTAATTTACCTAGAGTTTAAGATGCTATTAAAATTTTAAAGACTGTCAACCACCTGAAGTTTAATCAATGTCAACTATATTTCCTCACACAATGAAACTTAGGCTTGATGAGCCTGATTCTTCCTGTAATATAAGTAATAAAGGAAGTCTGGGCCTTCTCAAACAGTAGTTTAGATAGAAGTCATGAAGGTTGTGTTGGGGTTGACACGTATATTACATAAGGAATTTGGAGTTTGTAAAGTATGCTGGATTAGCAAGAGCCACTATGTGATTTAATTTTAAAATGTGCTTCAGAGTACACTCTAATATCATTACATTTAAAACACTGCTGTGAGCTAATACTAGGTGCTTTCTGTAGAAGCTTAGTCCAGCTTTGTGGCTTGAGTCATCTGTCTTCTGTTCCTGTTTGTTTGTTCCTGCTGGATTTGTGTGAAGATATATTTGTAGGTCCCTTTCTCTGTGCCTCACAGTTGCGTGGGAATTGAAATAATAGATAGGCCAGCCACCACAGTGACTCTTACTAAAATCTGTAATGACCTGAGTTTACTGGAATCACACGGAAGAGCTTTGTCTCTCTTTCTTTGACAACTGCCATGGCAGTTAAACATGAGAAAAATGGGTAATTTGAGTATAGCCATCTTAAACCCTCAGCTCGTTCAGACCCATTGGGTCATCTGTGTGGGTGACTGAGTTCTGGTGCGGGTTGCCCAGAAAGGTTGTGGAGTCTCCCTCCTTGGAGGTGTTCAGAACACACCTGGACGTGTTCCTGGGCAACCTGCTCTAGGTAGTCTTGCTTGAGCAGGGGTTGGACCACATAACCTTCCAATCTCAACCATTTCATGAAATCTCTCTAAGTGATGATAGATCTACAACAAGAAACAAGTTTCAGACAGGTTTGTTTTGAGGAATCTTATTCTCCCTTAAGGTTGTTGCTGCTTTTGTGAATTTGCATTTCAGCCTCTTGTTTCTGATTTGCTCTATAGGCGTCCTGTTTCTGAAGGCACAGCCCTGACACAAGCAAGTAGGCTGCCAAATGTCCAGGACTTCAAGTGGAGAGTGGACGTAGCTATATCTACAAGGTAAAAAAGAGAATTCTGCATGACCACAGAAGAGATTTTGTCCCAGGTTAAACTGACTTCCTATGCTGCCTAAAATATTAAGCGTTGAAGTCTATCTTACTGCATTAAATGGTAAGATACAGAGGGATTTCTTTTAACACTGTATGTCAGTTGATATGCAAAAGGTTACATGCACTTACCAACAGACTGCTGTTTTCATCTTCTGCTAGTGATATTTTTTTTTATGCTTCTTATTTGTTTACTCTCTAAAACTCCTGTGCTAGAATCATTTCACTCCAAGCTTTGGTCTTTCATTATTTTAAAACCTGATAGATCTGATACAACTTCACAGTAGTCCCTAATGATAGAAGCAATTAGATGGATTGAGCCACAAGCAGCCAGCCAGGAGAAGGGGAGGGAAATTGTCTATTCAGTTTCTCAATTAGGCTATCATTTATGTTTAGTGTGTGTTAAATAAAATTTCATACCCTATTTACATATCTACTGCTGTAGATTTGGCAGAAAGGCTTCAGAAGAGCACCTTCACATTGCCATAGTTATGCAGTGGTCATTGAACTGCCTCCTAATTTCTCTCACAAAACAGGAATAAAAGCCTCTCTGTGATCATCTTGTCTATGCCTGCAGTGAATGGTTTCTTGCTATCTGCCACAGCAGAGGCAGTTATGGGATGGATCTTTGGCTTGACAGGAAGTAGAAACCTTTTGTGATTTTCCTGATTTTTGTTTTGGATGAAAGAAATTAGAAGATGATCCAATCTTTGTCAGTAGCTGAAATTGTTAGCACAAGTGACTTCTTGTTGTGTTCCTGCATTGCAGGATCTGAGAGAGAGTTCAGTCTCACTGCTGTCATAGTTGAGAGAGCAATAAGTGACTGGGGGGAATCTTTCTGAAAACAAGAAAAAGGTCTCCTAAGTGAAAATTGTGATGGCCACAAGCTACAAGTTCAAGTGACTCAGATGAGCAGTGCTGAAAGCACCACACAGATATTATGATGCAGAAGAATCTGTACCTGTAAGAGAACAAAATGTACAGATAAACATCCTCAGGCACAACTCTTGCAAGTTTTGAGCAAATCCTATGATTGCTTTCCAAACAACACAGGAGCAACAGGTTACCCTTTTCTGGTTTTCTTCTTATTTTCCTTTACAGTCATCCTCCCTATGGGAATCCTTGTTTATCATTCAGCAGCAGCCTCTGTGGAGAGGCATGGCTTCTGGCTGGAACACCTGTCAGTACCTGAGCAGGTTGTGGCAGCATCCATTGATGAATGCTGCACAGCGATGGCTCATTTCCCCTCTTTGGGTCACCATGTAAAATAAATAGCAACCCATATTTAGGATAAAGACTGGGAGAGCTTGGTTCCTCAGATGAGATGGCAGTTGAAAGAATGAAGGGATGGAAAGAGTTATTACAATATAGAAAACTGCGCTAAAAAAAATGTGCATTATTGCTAGCCAGACTTGGTCAGCTCTTACATCTGTCATAGTTTGTGTAAAATGAAAATCCTCTTGTTAGCATTTTCTTGGTGTTATTAAGATATTCAAACTTTTTAGTCTAAATTGTGAGGTAAGTTTGACAGGACTCCCTCTGTAAAAAAAAAAAAAAATTTACTCATGTAAAGCCAATAGGAACATCCTGAAGTTGTACAGTGTACAATGGTGTACCTGTCACACTACTGATTTTTATTGTTGTAATACTAATAATGTAAATAATTTCAGTTCACTGGCCCGTGCTCTTCAACCATCCATTTTAATGCTGATGAAGCTTTCAGATGGGACAGCTCATCGCTTTGAAGTAAGTCTGATTGCCTTAACAAATAAAAAAGAAAGCACTTAAAGTTCTTTCAGGAAGTTGAATTACTATTTAAAACATGAAAGCTTTTGTAAACAGCGCATTATCGGTTTGCTTTCCTCTGTGTCTGCTGCAACCACATGCAATATATAACTGATTGCCAACCAAAATCATTTCATACCTCATTCCTATGCACATTTGGCTGAGAGCTCATTTGTTATACGAATGTTAGTTGTATTAGTTACTGGAAATTACTGTTGCATAACACCTAGTTTGTTTTAAAATCATAGTTTTGCTATCAGCTCTAACCTTCAAACCTCATGATGGCTTTTTAGAGGAGGAAAATTACTAGGGTAGTTTATATAAGATATGATGCACTACTAAACATCCTGCCTGGTAAAATATTCTTTTCTGTGGCAGAGGTAGTTTTGTTTTCTTTAGCACAGATCTCGCTTCTAGAAAGAAAGTAAAAAGCTTATTTGTTTTTTACATCAGGATTAGTCAGCTGCAGTATTTCTGATACTATATGTAATGGCTTGCAGAAAAAAAAAAAAAGCATACATTCTTTCATATTTTAACCTTTGAAAAGGAATGCTATTTGTTCTATAAATAACATGGTAGTGCATACAGGAGTTCAGTGCATAACAGTTGTCACATTTGAACTCCTAAAAGATTTTGGCTACAGTACACATATTAGTAGTAGTCTGGAAGAAGCACCAAAGCACTCTAGGCTCAGAGAGTTGGACTGATTTTAGTGTAATGTTTCACAGTACAGCTGTTGAGGAAGGTATAAACTCTGTACTATACATTGCCAGGTGTTGGGGGTTTCACTTCACAGAAGATCAGATTCACCTCAATGTGGGTAGTCCTCAGAGCAGCCTGTTAGCACTCTCTGAGATCTTCCATGGAACTTAAGTGATACTTTAGACTTCAGGTTGACTCTTCTCAGCATGATGAGTTTCACTTGATAAAAGCTAGCACATGCTCATTATGATTTGGGGCTTTGCTTCTAGTCTGCTGTGGAGACGTGTTGCTGTGCCTGGCTGGTGCATGCAGAAGTGCAGATATCTGATAGCAAATTGTATGCCTCGCTTTTCAAGTCAGCTTTTTGCTGCTGCCAAGATCTTAATACCAAAGATCTGTCTGTAAACAGGATTTTTTTATGATGAGTGATCTTCCTGCAGATAGTAGCTCTTTGATTGAAAACCAAATGCAGGTAAACATAGTCCTCATCTCTTCAGTTTTCTTTCATTCCAACAAGTACTGGATGTCCTGTTAACCTACAGGGATTATGTAAAATTATAAAACCAGAAGATAATCCCATTATGAACGGTTTTTAGAAGTGTATGTTACAGAAACAAGTTGTCCTGCTTGGTCTCCTAGGTTTTGTTTTCTTTTTCTAAGTGCAGTGTGTTTTCTGACGATGAAAGTTTTTTAGAAAGCGAATAAGAGCTGAAGCATTTTGAGTTTTGTGGTATGTATGTCAGTGTCCACAGAGAGAAAGCTCAGGCTGCCCTCTGCCCCCTGTAAGGAGCTGTGGCTGCCACAAAGCCTCCCCTCAGCCCTCTCTGCTCTGAGCCCAGCAAACCCAGGGGTCTCATCCCCTGCACCTGCAAATCTTCCCCTGCATCTGCAAATTGCAACTCAGATGCTGGATTCCTCTCATATGATTGATATCAGCTGCAGTGAGCAGGGTAATAAGGGACTCTGTCAAAGAACTGTGCACCTTCACTGTAGAAGTAGATTAGCCAGTGCTCTGCAGAGCACTCTGGGCTGCACCAATGCAGACACGGGTATTTGTGCACTGCGCTGCTGTTAACCTCTGCCCCTCAATCTATGCCTGTGCTCAGATGTGCTCTCAGAAGGGCCTTAACAGTGCTTAATATACTTCCTTCCATTTGGCTTCTCAAGCTTGAAATGCTACAGGAGTCTGTGAGTTTTCTCTCCTCCTCTCGCAGTGAGTCTCATCTACATCAAACCATAACTTACAGGTGCCATATTTGCATGATCCACAGAGAGCAGACGTTATTTCTATAACCTGGTTTTACCTCTTAGCCTTTGAAAAGCTGATCTCCTTAGCTCTGAAGCTTGTGCTTAAACAAATGCCTGCTATCAGTTCATCCAGTTACTTTTGTAGCATTTGCAGTGCTGAATTGCAGCACATTGTTTTTTGCTCTCTCAGGCTGTCATCTCTTTGAAGATATTATCTTGTTAGCTTCTTAATCAATAGTCTAATTTATGAAACTAACTGTAAACTTACAGTCGGTGCACACAGCCATAAGGCCTCTTCTGCAATGTAGCAGTTACTCACCATTAATCCCTTGTAAAACCAGGTTTTAACCAGGATAGGTGGCGAGATAGGGAAACATGTTGTATTCAGTTTGAATGGAAAGCTGCTGTGTTCATTAGTTAAATAGTTTTTTGTGGTAATATTCTCTTGTAAACAGCAATTTAATTCTTTGTACTTGTCTCCATGACATGTACGTATCACCTGATACAAGTGTTTAGTTGAATTAAAGAGTTTTTAAATAAGTTAATTAAATAGGTTTTCTAAACTGAAAGCCTCTTGTTTTGAGTGCACCAGTTGCAAATGAAATATACATTGAGGCCTGCATAAGTGTAAGGCTCGAAGAATTCATATTTGAGACATGTAAGTGTCTTTGTAAGTCATGTTTATGTGTACACTTCTTCAAAAATTGAATCTAGTTTAATCTCTTCTAGTTGGCATCCACAAAACCTCATCAGTGTGGCACCCCGGGGTAACAGGGAAGCTTTATTTTGAGATGTAACAAATCTGAAAAAGTGACTAGTATAAAATCTGGGACTGGATTTTTATACCCAGAGCATTGTCTGCCATGCTTCTTACAACATTTCAAAAGGAGATTCACCCAAATACTCAGAATTTTTATGGTTGTGACCATGCTATAAATATAACTTTGCAGAGAATGTGGCAGGGTAGCGTGTGTTTATGTAGGTTAGATATTTTGGATTTGCTTATTTGAAAATTTTGACCTCACGTTATAAGAAGGATTTGATGGCAGCAGTTGTTTCATTGCCACATTTCTTTAGCCTAGAAAAAGTATATGGTTTGATGTTCCCATCTGGGTTAAATAGTAGTGAAGAGTTAGGGCAGGCCCTGAGCTAGCTAAGCCAGTGGTTTCAGGACTTGGTTTTCTGTGCACTTTTACTGGCTCAGACTGCTTGCTCAAACATCCATCTAGTGCTTGTGACTGGATACATTATTCTGTCTGATACTCCCATGTTAGTTGCAAGCACTGTATGAGTGAGGAGTGGAAGTTTCCTTTATGGAGAGTTGAACTATCTTTGTAGTCATCACTGCAATTTCTGTTAATTAAATTGTGATTCCTACTGGCTTTAGCTAATTTTGGCCATGCTTAAGTTGCTATAACTTTTTTCTAGTGTTGTGATTACATCTGTTTTCTCTTCTTGTTTAAAATGAGAATGTCTTGTGGCTGCTTTCCAGGTTGATTTCTGTCTTCTCATGTCAAAGCAAAAATAATAAGCTCTTGGGTGGCCTTTCTTTAGCTGTAGCATTCAAGTGCTTTAAAGACAAAGGCAGCTGATGATTTGACAGAAGTTAGTAACAGCACTGGGTCCAAATTAAAAGGCCCACAAATCACGAACCCTGACTGAATCTACTGAACCACCCTTCTTTTTCTTAATGGAAAATAAGCAGTTGGAAAGAATTGTTTTGGGAACTATAGACTAGCTTGTAGGTCTGGATGGATGTTTATTTGACTGTTCTAAAACATAAAGAAATATCAGAAAGAAAAAAAAACAACATTATTTCAGTAACAGAGAAGAGCACCTAGTTTCATGTTTCACAATAGCTTCTTAGACTTAACATTTTTGTATGGGGCCTTGGGACTCTGCAAGAGTTGTGTTATCATAGATCCAGCTCCTGGTACATACAAGAGATACCTGCTGGTTTTGGCAGCAGAAACTTCCCTTTCATTCATACATTATGAAGACAAATGGCCTCTGAGATTTATTAACCTACAACACTTTGTCTTAACTCTAATATATATTTATTTATTTTTTTAATTTTATTTATGTTAAAGAGAGATTGGACTGACGTTCCATAGGCGTGCCCTGCCCAAAGTTTCTAAGGTGTATCATGCTTGTTAAACTGAACCTTCTGTTTCAGGTGCCAGTTGCAAAGTTTCAGGAGCTAAGATACAACGTAGCCCTTATCCTGAAGGAAATGAATGATTTGGAGAAAAGAAGCATACTGAAAATCCAGGACTGAACACTTCTGAACTGGGATGTTGGCGGAACAGATGTGAAACCTTCAGTGAATTTTGTGAAGGGTGAAGCATGGGACCATCACCACTTTGCCTGTCTTGTAACTGCAATGTAGCATTTATTATGTCTGCTGTAAATATTTTTTCAACTCAAGTATTAAAAGCACAAGCTCTTTTCTTAAGACTTAGAAAAAAAACAAAAAATATATTGACGAAGAAGTATAATCCTATTTGCAAGCATTTTTTGCATGATTCATCAAAACATTTTTTGAATAACTGTCTTAAATGTAAGAACCATTTCTTCCTGATTATGATTCATCACTCTAATTATTTTTGAAAGCCTGCTACCGGAAGTACCATCAGTGTGTATCAGAAGAAAGCCCTGCAACATGTCAAATAAAAAAATACAATAACTACTATTGTGTTGTAGTATGACAAATGTGAATTTGAGTTTGGCATTAGTAAAATTGCTGTCTGACTTCTTGATAAGTGACTCAAGTGTTGGTACGTATACCTAATTTTGAAGAAAAGTGGGAGCCTGGGAATCAAGAAAGAAGTATGGATTGAACTAAATCAGTGGAATTGCAAAAGAGAAAATGTGTAATCTAAATCTTTACCTGGATGATCAGTATGCACTGAACAGGAGTAATCTTGTCGATTTCTAAGTGGGAATGCCTGCTTTGTTTCATGTATTTCCCATGTTTGTCAGCTGAATCGTCTGAGTCTTATTACAGGGCAGAAACCTCTGGCACGGTGACAATGTCCAGCAGCAGAAGACAGGAGCCTTGTAGATCACTACAGCTAATACACTTCTTATCAGCACAAGCCAGACCCCAGGATGAGGAGGCTGTATGCAGTCCCTGGGATGAAAGTCAGAAGTGCAAGTATATCCAAACAATACCCAGGTCAATAAAATAGTCGAGAATGGGCTGAAGGCTCCATTGCTCCATTTGTAAAGCTTGAAAGAACTCCCCTAACAGGAAGCATATGTTTTAAGTCTCATTTAAACTCAATGGGACCACAAATATGTCCCTAAGGGCTTTGCTAAGAAGGGATGCATTCCTGAGTCAGTGCCTGAATGAGTTTTTCCCCAAGAGCAAGGACATGGAGATTGAACAGCTAAACAGCACAGCTCATGGGCCTTGGCACAGGGTTTACCCACCTGTCACAGGTAGTTTAGAACACATATACCACTACCATTGTTAAGCATTGGATTTTCTAGCTGCTTGCTGAGGATGCCTATCTCAGTAGTGCCACCTGTACTCCTCTTGTTCATTTTGTGTAGAACTTGCTTTTATTGCCCTCATTCCTGGAGGGAAAAAAAAACAAAGAAAGAAAAAAGCTACTGAATATGGCATCATGGGTTCAGGAGGATTTTGACACTTCTGCAGGTGTTTCTGTAGGGAAGGATAACTTGGCTCTTGGATTTTACAAACCACAACAGCCATAAGATGTTATTGTCCTGCTTTTTAAGTTGAGTCTTCTTTGATGGCAGTCCATACCAAAGTACAGACAGCCTGAATTGTCACAATCCTGAAAGCCTATCAAGCCTATACATGAAGTGTCCTGTAGATTCACATAAGCATGTTGTGATGTCGAACTGTTCAAAAGCCATGTGTTCTGTTTTCTGTCTTTGCAGGCCACTCATCAACTTCCCAGTTTGATTCATGTACCTTAACTACTCTGCATAGCTCACACCAAAGCAGATACAAACAGATTAGCCCCTACAGTTTAAAGAGGACTGTAGATTGCATTAGTTTGGTGTTTGCTTTTTGGTTTTGCTTTGTGAAGTTTGTTCTACTTTCTCCTGGAATCACATTATCACAAAGTGTGAAACAAAACGTTTTCTTGTTCTAACTTTGCCCTTGTAAATGATTACATTGATGTGGTTTTGAGCTGGAGAACGTACCTCCACTGAGGCTATTAGTGAAGTCTTTCAAGACAAATGGAATGCTGTGTGAGTGTACAGTGCATTCTGCTGCTGAAGACATCTGCAAAGTACATTTTTATTGGGCAGCATAGAAGAATCAATACATACTTTTAGATACCATATATTTGTTTGGTGGTTCTCCTGTGACAGCAGTGGTATGTGTGCACCAGAAATGGACCAGCTTCCTGGCTGCATGCTTGCGTTCTCTGGAAGGGATGATGGACCTTATATCTCCTTTGTCTTGCTGCACATTATGCAGGAGTTTGCTATTATTGGTCGTTTACTGTGCACACTGACAGGTACTTAAACACTTGGGCTTTTCTTACATACAAAGCAACGCTTTCAACAGATAATCTTTTCACCAAAATGGCTGGTGAGAATGGCTGGCAGATAGTCCCTAAGTTTTGATAAAATAAGCCTTCCAATTGGTGAATTAAGTATTATTTATTCAACATTGAAACGTCTTCTTGATTTGGTACCAAAATGCTCTGGAATTTGAATTCCACTGAACTTCTCATGGGAGCATTGTCATTTCATTACAGAATAAAAATAACCTTCTAAAACTCTGGGTATGTCTGAGCAGAACTGATTTTACCCAGCACACTTTAGGTTCAGTTACACTTCAGGGACACAGTGTGAATCCCTCGTTCTTTATTGCACAGGGAAAGATCCAACTGAACGAAATGCTTGCTGTGTGCATCCCAAGGTCTTGTCAAGCTGATCACTTGATCAGGAGGTGACAAGGACCTTTCCTGGGTTATTCCCATAGTTTTCCCTGAAAAAAATCAACCCCTGGGGTTGGTGGGTTGTTCTGTTTGTCCTTTTATTTGATGGTGCCATCCATTTCTTTAAACTGGTGGATGTATATAATATCTTAATTCTAGTGATTTTTCTAACCATGGCAAGCGACCATAGTAAATTCCCCCTTTACAGCTTTATTGCATAGGGAATGTTAGGCCTCCTCTTTTCAATTGGCTCAGCCATCAGTCCAAAACTGTTGTCACCTATGGACTATTGCAGAGTGTGAGAGCACTTGTGTATAAAACACCTTTATTTGCTACATGGCTTTTAACATCCCTGCTGCCAGCAGAGAAGGAGCACTGTCAGGAAGGATGGCGGGTCAGAATGTCACATTTAGGTTAGTTGTGTATGGGAAGGGAAAGAAACAGGATTGGTTTTGTGGTCTGAGAGCGTGATGCAGATTATGGCTCCAGAAGAGGGCTGAAGAATGTAGTCGTGCTCTTACGCTGTTCTGCCAGCCATTAACTGCTGGAAGAAAACCAGTATTGTGCTCATTGTCATTAAAAGGAAGAAATTAAACTTCCCTTTGTAGAAAAATCATAGAAAGGAGATGTGCTTTTGTGGAGTGAGTCACCTCCTAGCTGTAAGTTCTGTTTAAGTGAAAGATTAATCAGCTCTCAATCTCCCAAGCAATGCAGGTAGGTAGGGGTTTGCAGCCCTACTGCTGTTCCAAATCCACAGATATCTACGTATGTGAGCATAGGAAATCTCCTGCTTTCAGAATGTAGCATACAACAAAACAAAAGCAGCATATGCAGGTTGATTATGTACCTTCAGAGTATGCAACTGTGTTCACTAGGGCAGAGTCTGTGGAGCCGAGTTGGCTGTTGGACAAGATAGTGGTGTGCAGCTGTGCCAGGGAGAAGTAAAGCAGCGCCTTGGCTTTCAAGTATTGTTAAGTTAGTGGCTATCATGTTCACTCTGCACCTGGCACGCCCCACGCAATACTCACATTCACCAAACAACAGCACCAGGAGCTAGCAGAGGCAGAGCTTGCTGCTTTCTCCTGAGAAGTCCCAAAGCTGTTGCCCACAAGCCATCCACAACGAGATCTTCACTGTTCTTGGGCTTTGGATAAAGATCTGCGGCTCTGTGACCCTCAGAAGCAGACAGCTCCCACCACCAGCAGTTTGCAGGCATCACTGCATCACTGCTGCCCTTTTCCTCTGCGCCCGTCCTGTGCTGGGCAATCAGATGACCAGCTCAGTGTCTTTTCATGTGCCGTACACAGAAGCTGTGGAATTTCCCTTCAGAACACAAATCTCATCACATTTTCTGTGATAATCTATTTCCATTCCCTATCTGAATTCATGCGCTGCTTGCAAACCTCCCCTTCTACCACGGCTCTTATCTCTTTAAGTGTCTGCTATGTAACTGTGTAAATACTGCTGGCGTATCCCCGATAGAGAGATTGGCATCGCATCGCTACTGGTAACCAGCGGTTATGTCACTTTCCCTCGCTTGAATAGGCTTTGACTCATGGTGGTTTTCAGGACAATGGTTATAAAATAACACACAGAAGGGCTGCCGAGACGGTCGTTTTGCAATAGAGACAACTGTCGACCTCGAGAAAACGTTTTTCCCTTTTGTTAAGGCTGTAGTTCTTTCGTAACACGAGGCTTTCTCGCATGGAAGTTGGAAGACGAGCCGCCTGCGTGCTGCGAGCATCAGCTCGCTAAGGAAAACGCCCGCCCCTGCGTGCCGGCTCCCGCTCGTTGTCCCGCACTTCGCTCCACCCAGCCCACGAGTCGTTCAGCGCTCCTGCAACCAGCCGGTGCCGGGCTGTGCTGTGCTGTGCTGGTAGGCCAGACGGAGCCAGCAGCGGGAAGAATGTCTAACGCCAGCAGTTACTCAATTAACCTCTTTCCTTGTTTATTTAAAGGACTCTCTTGGGAACTTTGTATACAGAGATGTACTTTGGTGCATCCGAAAGCCTTAGGGAGGGAAGCCAAGTTTTTGGCAGGTGCAAAAAGCCTCAGAACAGGGATGTCAGCGGGCGGGATCAGACAGGTGCACCCCTGCAGCGCGGCCACACGCCCGTGGCCCCTTTCCCTCCGAACTCCCCGCTCCGGCGTGCGAACGCCGCCACGAGCCAACGGTGAGAAAGCTTCAGCTTTCGTCGTTACGAGAGCGGCGAACCGAGAGCGGGGCACCTGCGGAGCGCGGGCGGATCCGGGGCACGGCACGGCACGGCACGGCACGGCACGGCACGGCACGGCACGGCACGGCACGGCACGGCACGGCACGGCGCCGGCTGCCTCCAGCGCGGACGGGCCGCGGGCGAAGCGTGCCGCCCCTCTCGGCGGGCCGGGCCGTCGGCAGCGGTTACAAAACCAGGCGGTTTTGTAACAACCTGCGGGAGCCGCCCAATGAGCGCGGCCGCGCCGCGTCACGTGCCCGCCTTTATATAAGCGGCGGCGGGCCGGGGCGCTCCCGGCGCGGGGCGGCAGCAGCATGGGCCGGCGGGGCCGCGCCGCGCCCGCGGCGCCACAGCCCACGCGCCTCGGCGCCCCCGGCCGCCCGCCCGGCTCGCGTTCCCGCTCGTGCTGAGAGGGCGCCGCCCGCCATGGGCTCCCGCCCGGAGCCGCTGCAGGCGCAGAACTTGGAGGCGGCGAGCGGCAGCCGCGGCCCCGAGTGGCGGGCGCTGCTCGGGCGGGCCGACGCGCTGGCCTTCGGCGGGCGGCTGCACGAGGCGCTGCCGCTGTACCAGCTGGCGTCCCGGCAGCGGCAGCTGCGCGCCGAGCAGCTGGAGAAGCTGGTGGAGTGCCTGGCGCGGGGCGTGCGGCTGAAGGAGGGGCTGCCGGCCGGGAGCGGCGCCCCGCAGCCCCGGGACTGGGACGGCTGCCGCTGCCGCAAGTGCCAGGGGTTCCTCTTCGAGCCCGTGTCGCTGCCCTGCGGACACACCTTCTGCAAAAAGTGCCTGGAGAGGGAGGACCGCGCGGCCGCCGCGCGCTGCGTGCTGTGCCGCCAGGAGGGCGGCGGGCGGCTGCCGCGGGTCAACGTCATCCTCAGCAACCTGCTGGGCAAGTGGTTCCCGCGGCAGGTGCGGGCCTCGCAGCTCCGCCACGAGGGGAACCTGCTGTACCGGGAGAAGAAGCTGCACGCCGCCCTGCAGAAGTACGACGAGGCGCTCAGCTTAGGTAACGCCCGCGGCGGCCGGAGCCGGGTCCCGGGGCGGGCGGCGGGGGGGAGCTCCGGCCCGAAGCGGAACTGGGTCAGGAGAGCGGCGGTTGCGTAAGGCGGCAGCCCGCGGCCCGGCCGCCCCCCGCCCCCCCGGCGCCGTTGTGTAACCGCGGGGCGGGAGCGGGGCCGCCGCCCCCGGGGCTCCCCGGCACCGCGCCGCGCTCCTCGGAGGGGCCGGACCGCGGGCTGCCTGCGGAACGGAGGGGAGGGGTGGGACGGGACGGGGAGCGTGGCGTGGCGTGGCAGAGCTCTCGGCGCGTTGCTCCGGAGCGCAGCGCGGAGCCTCGGGCGCAGCCCCGTCCCGCTGCTCCGTGCCGCCGCTCCTCGTGCGGCTTCACCCGGGTAGTGAAGGCTTCGTCGCTCCGATCCGCGGCCGCCGTGGCGTCCCCGCGTGCTGCCGCCGCCCGCCCGGTCTCCCCGCACGGGTCGCTCCCCGCCCGGTGCCCGTTTATGCAATTTGCCCGGAGTTATGTAATGCGCCGCCGCCGTTCCGCTGGAGTTGCACGAAAGAGGTTTCCGTATTTCGTTTACTACGGAGTTATTTCAGGGCTGATCATTATGGGTTTCGGTACAATTTGGGAGGCGCGACGCGTGTTTAAAAATAAAATTCTAAGGAATAAAGCTTATGTAACTGTTTCTAAACTGGGTTAATCGACCAACTTTTGTTTCCCACAGCTCCCAATGACCACTTGCTGTACAGCAACCGGTCCCAGATTAACTCGACTCTGAAAGCTTGTGAGGATGCGCTGCACGATGCCGAGACAGCATGCAGGCTGCAGCCCTACTGGCTTAAAGTGAGTCCTGAGCCCCAGCGTGCTGTGCTCACAGACCTGGGTGCTGCTCTGGGTAGAAAACTTAGAGCTGATGGACTGGGGAGGCTCCTGTGGCTCACGGGCTCTGTGGGGTGAAGGAAAAGCAGTAATCCTGCAGGAGGAGTTGGCATTGTTGTCTGTGACCCGCCGGGATCTTGAGTCTGTAAACTGTCTCTAAAAACTGAGTGCTGTGCTTCTGACTCGATAGAAGAAAATCAGTTGTTAGAACCTTAGTGTGGAGGGAGCAGATCTGTCCAAGAGCCCCTGAGCTTAGGGATGTCGTGGGAATTGTATTTGCCAGAGAACATCTCAGTTCTACTGCTAGGGCTCTCAGGTGTAGGGGATTTCATCACTGTGCTGTGAAACTCAGGCACTGCTGGTGTCGCAGGCTGAGGAGCCATGTCAGTGAGCTCTCCCTGCCCGACTCTCTTTGGAGGATCCGTCGCTTCACCTTGTTCTCAGTGCATGTTCTCACAACAGAAGGAACGAAGGCTATAACGATGGCTGTGTTTCATTGCAGGGTCACTTAAGGAAAGGCCAGGCATTGGCTAATCTAGGGAAAACAGAAGAAGCTTTAAGGGAGTTTCTGTTCTGCCTTGCTCTGGACATGGGGAACAAGACGGCCAAGTCTGAGGCTCAGAAGGTATGATCCCCAAATCATCCAAACTGCATTGTTTTTAGTGAACTATCATAGAGAGGGTAAGAGTGTTTCTCCTTCCTTTCCCCTCCCTCATTACTGCGGAGTCGTGGGGGGAGGGGTGTCCTGGCTGCTGCTCACTCTTGGGCTGTTGTCTGTCCCTTTGAAGATAGGGAGGTTGCAAGAGTGCAGGCACTAAGCAGGTAGATGCTGTGTAGAAACAGTTACAGTGTTAGCACCAGCAAACTTGAAGTAAAAGTGAATTGCTAATAATCACCACTCACAGACTTCTGTGATTCCCTGTTGGCGAACTTCTCATGTTTCATGGCTTGGCACCACGTTGCCAGTGAGCAAGAGGGAGCTGTATGGAGTATTGCATGGGGCTGGGATTCTGAGCCAACACGCAGCACTCAGCATGCTCTGCTGGGAGCAGCTGCTTTTCTCTGCCACGGCCACGCTATGACTGAGGTGGGGAGAGAAGCACTCAGCAAAGAGCTGCTTTAAATCTGCAGCAAGCCTTTTTTTTTTTTTTCAGCTGGGGCCAAATCTGTTGTGTGTGTTCTTAAAGGGGTTTTGTATAATGTGCTGGTGCTGTGTTGTCCAACTCTTAAGTAATACCACAATTACTGTGAATGGGGATTTTGACAATTGATCTCTTTTGTTGTTGCAGCCGAAAGGCTTTGCAGCAAAGCAGGTGATAGCTTGAGATAATAAAAACAGAATCGTTCTGGTTTCATTGCACTGCACACTCTTTCACGGCACCGCACCCAGCTTTGGGGTCGGAGTGCTGGGACTTGGAATGCTCTGAAAGTACTGTGGCATTCCTACAGTGAAGCACTGCTCATGAAAGTAACCGGGTTTATAACATGAATGGCTGTAGTGCAATCAGGTCTTTTATCTCACTTTGCACAGGGTTCCAGTTTCTATGATTTTTTTTCGGTTATGTTTTGGTTTTGGGGTTTGATAGAACTTTTTTTTCCCTGCAGTGTTCCATGCAGAGTTTCGCTGTCATTGTATCATGATTTGTTTTCATAGTCATGCTGGGAGAGTTGCAGTGCACTAGAGCAGGAAGAGCACACGTTCAGATACATTTCTGAATTCAGACCCCAAACAGCTTTGTCCAAGACACCCGATTTCAAGCAATGGGGATCTGAGAAAAACACAGCTGATCACGACCAACAGAATGACTTGTGTGCTCATCTGACGCAGAGTTCATCCATGATGCAGTGTCTTCCTGGGCTGTTTCCAAGGCTGTTTGCATAACAATGACATACTGCTTTTTACCAGAATCTTTGGGTGCAGCTGTGATGTTCTGCCCCTGCTAGCTGCCTGTCCATGGTGTGGGATTGGAGCTGTCACGCAGCTTCCTCAGACTGCGGCAGGATCACTTCAGCAGTATTTTGAAATCCATTTCTTGAAGTGTGGGAATTTCTCATAGTCTGTTTCTTTTATGATGACTGAAAATGTGCCTGCAAGTGGCAGCAAGCTGCTGCTCAGTGCAAGTTCACTCACTTTCTGATTGCAAATGAAGGAATGACATTTTTCTGCTGCCCATGTTTTTTTTATATTCTCGTATAAATGAAGTAGAAATGGTTCCAACTTAGTGTATTGCAACCACATAAGTGCATGTGGGTGAAGCCTGTGAGATGAGTGCTTTCTGTGCTCCATAAAAGCCGCTGAGGGTTTTCTGATGTGCAGAAAAAAGAAAACAAAAACAAGGTTGGGGACTTCTGATGAGCTCTGAGCCACGGGACGAGGGTGTGCGTGTAACTGGAGGGTGGTCTGTGATTCACGGTCTTAATGAGCTCCCAAAATCCATCTGTGGGGCCCGCACTACACCAGCTTTGCCATTTTTCTTTCATCCCTATCTGAAGGGCTCTTTAAAAGGGTTTTTGTTTTTTTAAATGAAGGGTATTTCTGTCAGCCACTCCCTTACTTGCTTTGTCATGTAGAGGTTGCGAGGAAGGAACTAAGCAGTGAAGTATTCTGTTTTATATCACAGCTTCTACTTAGTTTGTTTTCACTCATCCCGGGAAATGCTCAGGAACACTTACCCGATATCCTGCAGCTGTTGTCACATCACTCTAGATTAAAGGGGAACCTCCTAAGTTCAGTGGGATCTGGAGGCACCAGCCATGCCCTGCAGAGGTTGCTCAAGGTAACGAATGAGTCTGCTGTGTGGTTCTTCATTTTTCTGTGTGTTCTGTGTTCACGTGGGGAAGCCTTTCCTTTTCATCTCTGGGAGATGGGATGATGTGTTTTCTCTGACGTACTGCCTTACAGGACAAAGAAAGCAATGCAGATCTGCTGAAGCCTCTTGAGCTCACCTCTCTACCAAATGTATGCAGGCATTGAGCTGTCTGTAGCCCATCCATACAGCTGGCAGGAGAACAGAGCCTCTGCCGTGTGGGTTGGGATGCCCTCCAAGGCCTCAGTGTGCAAATTTGGGGTTTTAGCTTGAACTGTAACTGACCATATGTCAAAATAATCACCCTGTGTTCAGGTTCTATACACTGAGAGACCATTGTCAGCTAGCAGTATTTGTACACTGCTCTACAAGTTCGTTTTCACAGCCAGAGTACTGAGATCTGCTGGGAAGGTTTAAGTTAGAAGGTTTGAGTAAGGACTGCTTTTCCTTCATTAAAACCTGAACTATGAGGATATGATCTGCCTATATCATAACTGTAGAAGAAAACTTTACTGATTCTAGGAAAAGGAAGTGGTGGGTTTTGCTCAGCCTTGCTGAGGATAAGCAGTGCCTTCTGGAAGGACTGTTCTGAAAAGAAATCCTCCCACAGGACCCTGTCATGAAGTCAGTCTTTGAGGGACAGCTCGCTCTTCTTTCTACATGTTAAACATTACTGCAGTATCTGCTTTTGGGTTCATCTGTGGTGTGGATGTGACAGGCTGATAGGTGATGTCCCTTAGCTGCTCTGTGCAACAGGAGCAGCAATGGTTGTTTGATCTTTTGTGAAAGAAGTCTGTCACACAGGAGGGAGCTCTGTGCCTCTCCTTTCCTGCTGTCAATTTGGTGTTGATACTGCTTCTTTTGAGCAGAACTCATGTAGTTCTGGTCATTTTGATGGTTGGTACCATCATCACAGTATAAACAATACATATTACTAAGATTAGAGTATTAAGGTATAGATTAAGTGATAGCAGTGTATTAAAACTGAGATTTAGATGGCTCTCTGCCTAAATTGAGTTCCAAGAGCAAGCAGTAAAGCCACACACAAGGGCTGAAAGTACTGAATGGTGCTGGGGGGTGGGTATTGTCTGCAATACATCTGACATTAAAGCCATGCTCCTACAGAGCAATCCTCAAACTGTTCTTCTTGAGCTACAGCGTCCTTCCTCGTGAGCCACAGCATGAAGGGCTTGACAGGTTTGGGTGTTTTTCCTTACTGTGTGGATGAAGGTGGATGCTCTAATGTCAGCTCTCTTTGAACAGGTAAATGTGGAACAGAAAAAGGGCTTTCCTGTTCAAGAGGAACCAAACATAACTAATTCTGGCAGTTTAAGGAAGTCCACGCAAACCACAGAGAGTAGAAAGGACTGCTCAGAGGAGGAGAACAAGCCCACCTCCGTACCAGAGCCTGCCTTCCTCGTGTCTGAGAAGCGTGGCCTCCTGAAAAGGAAGGGCTGCTTGGAGGAGGTGAGGGCTGCAGAGGTGCCCTGCAAGCTCCTGAAGAAAGGTATGTGGAACTGATGTACCATCGGTGGAATCTTTGCTTGCATAAAAGCCTAGAAGGATCCAAATTGCACTTCATTTTTTTCTATTCTCTCATTAGTTTAATCAGGGCATAATGTGGAACACTTCTTGTAGAAGTGACTGTTAGTCTAAAAAGACAGCTAGGGGAACTGAGATGAGTGCTTGTTTGTTGGCAGAGCTCTGGATTTTATAAGTAACATTAATGCCATGCATGCTTTTGCGGCTTTCTGGATCAATTAAAAAAATGTTTAAAAGCATGAGTTCTGTTCACATGAACACCTGATGTGCAGCCTTTTTCCATAGTGGGATATATTTACAGTGGTGTGACAGAAAAACTTGTCGGACTTCTGGCACAGGGTGTTTTGGTGCTGTTAATGCAGCACTAAATTCAATGCTCTGCACATCAGTGTAGTGTCACTGCAGTTAAGGACAGGTGGCTTGCTTGTGCTGGAGCTGGATGTGATGCTATGTGTAGGAGATACTGCAGTGATGCTCAGTGGTTCAGTAGCTTGCACGTAAAAGTTTAAGCATCAGTAGTTGGTTGTAGTTGCAGAGGCTGGTTATGCTTTCCTAGCAGTGTGCAATCATATGGTAATGTGTTTTCTTATTGTTGCTGCTAGATACCGTCGATACTAAGGGAAGCAGCACTGGGCAACATACTCCATTTGAATCTGTGGATCCATCAGATCTGGATTGCTCCCTGTGTATGAGGTATCCATTATTTCCTCATGGATGTCTTGAGCTTGTAGAAAACCCCTCCCTTTTTACAATCTAGGTATCTTCTAGCTCAGCTGATACGTAATTTTCCCACTGACCTGAAACCAGTTTGTATTAGAATTATTTTTCCATTAATGTATTTCTCAATCTTTGGTTCTGAACACTGTGGTGAAAGGTTGGGCTGCCCCAGGTTGGCGATGGGAAGGACATGAGGTCACAGTGAGAGTTGAGCACGTTAATGGAGCTGTCACATTTCCTCTTCCCATCAGTTGTACGCACCCACCCACTGGTGCAGTGCACACAGCCACAGGTTTCTCCTTTGGAATTTATAGAGCTGTGTATGATATCATAGTGCATGAGATAGCTAATGAATATTATGAGCACACCAAGTTTGCATATAATAGTGTTCTATTATATGCAAATTATATGCATATAATATAGTGTTCTTGCTGTTACAACAGGTGGGTCTTTAAGAGCATGTTTTTCCTGTGTTGCTCAACAGATGTGCTGAATTCCTTTGTTACTGAGTCTTGCAGCCTCTTCCTTCAGTTAAATAACAGATCTAGCCTTAAGGACGGCAATGACTATTGAAAAACAAACAAAACTCTTGAGTTGTCATCTGTTTTACTGAAGGCTTTGTTTTATGTTAAAAAAAAAAATCAGTAAAAATAGGGTTTTGTTACAAATTCCTTGATGAAAATAGAGAAGATGTTTCACAAAGGTCTTGATTTCTGCATTGTGCCAGTCATGTTTGTCTCAGTTCTATCTACACAGTATGTTTTGGTTCATCTCGTAGCATATTACTTGAATAGCAGGTGGCTTTGTGGATTTTTTTCTGAAGGGCTGTGACTGGACAAATGTGACTGCTGTGCTTTGCTGTATGCTTGTGAAGGGGATTGCCTCCTTTTATTTGAAACACTAACATCTTTGAGGGGAAAATCTGCAAAGGCTTGCTTCTGCCTGGGATAAATCAGATGTGCCCCTCTCGCTCCATCTGCTTGCAGCTGAAACGTGCTCCAGAAGTGTACACAGCTGTCAAAACACTGGTGCTGCTAAGAGCAGAACTTTCTTCTTGCAGAAAGCCACACAATGGGTCTGAGCTGCTTTTAATGACTGCATGTTTAGAATCATGTCCACAAAATGCTTTTCAGATGCTTTTAATGAATTTAATTATCCTTACTTCCTCATCCCCTGTTAAATCAGAAACAGGCAGACTACCATGCACTCCTGAAGGCGTTGAGGACTGCTGGGTCTGTGGCTGTGGGTGCACTCAGGGCCTGATGTCTGCAGGGCGGCAGCTCCGTGCCACTGTAACAGTGAGGACAGTCTGTCACTAGATTTTCATCATGCTATTAATGCAGATGGGTCATAATTATTTCCTGCCACGTTCTTCAAGAGTATTTTAGGGATTTGGATCCGGAGATGCTTTGTACTTGATTACCCAGTAACCCACTGACCTGCTCACAGGGAGCTGCTATTAGCCTACTTGTCTGGCGAAGCGGCCCAAATGTTATCGATCCACAGCAGCTCCAGCAGCAAGCAGAGAATAAGCAATGCTTAAAGCAATACAGGGAGAAGGGAGGAAGCAGCGCTCACAGAAACGGATACTCATTTTCTGCTGTTTAGCAGAAAGCTGCTGGTGGCTTCAGTGGAGGCAGAGCAGGATCACCCATCTCAACTGGAATTTGTTGTCTTCAGATCCAGTAACAGCTACTAAATAATTACATTTACAAACCAGTGCTCCCTGAAACAATGCAGTCTGACATTTGCTGTAGTTCAAACAATAGCATAGTGCAGTGAGGTTTCTGTTCATAAAGCAGCTAACGAGGATTTTCAACCATGCAGTCCCAGTGTAGTAATAGGTGTGGCTTTTTGGATGCCTCTTTGTGTTCTGTTGTTTTAAATGTCAATATTTACAGTTACTAATGACATTTAATAAGGTGGCTGTGGCAGTTTTGTAAGGAGCAAGTTATGTGTATAAGTAGTCATCTTGTTAAAGGTACTAATAAATGTGGGTTAATACATTTGTAACGTCCATGTGTATAATGGAACTTAGTTTGCTGCTTTCTTAAACTTGATAAATTAGGAGAAGATTACTAATTGGGACCCTAAAGTGCTTAGACAGTATGCTGTGAAATATATGCCAGTTTCCTTTCTAGTTTAGAATGTTTTGTATTTAAAAAGAAGAAAAGAACTTAAAGTATTTACATCTGTCAGAGGTACTTACTGTCAAGGAAACCTCACTTTGCAATATCACATAATTGGAATAAGCCAGAAATCTGTATGTAGAAATAAGTGTCACAGAGGTACCTGGGATGAGCAGGTTAGACCCTGAGCTATTTTAAAATCTTGGCCTTATAGTTTGAAATATTTTCCTAGCTGAAACATGAACTTAATATAATTGCTTTTCCAGACAAGCAGGTTGAAGGTTAAAAACAATCTATTCCAACAGAACTGCTTTCCCAGTCCAGGTTAGAGTTGGTAATAATCCCTTTTTTTTTGTAGTCACTTCTCTGGCCTATTACTGCAAAATGACTATTTTGTGCTTTGCTCTGCACATCCAAGTACCCACATGAGTTCCATACTACAAGTTGTGTAAGTGTTACTCAATTTCATTAGAAAAAGTTGGATGGTCTGGCTTCATTTTCTGTTCATCACTTGTGTTGAATAAAATGAAGCCTGAACCTGCAGACATCACATGCACTGCAATGTGAGCTCAGAGGCTGCCTTTCACATTAGACAGCAGTAACAAACAGTGTAAGCTGAATAAAGACAAGAGTTGGATGAAGAAATGAAAAACAAGGAACAACTTTATCTCTGGAGCAGTCAGTAGCTAAATTAGTGGATAAATACAGCTTTTTTTTTTTTTTGTAATGTCTTTTTCTATTACTTTGGTACACGATATTGTTGTCTTCTTGTTTTTGGATTTCCCAATCCAGGCTCTTCTATGAACCTGTCACCACGCCTTGTGGACACACCTTCTGTCTCAAATGTCTTGAGAGATGCCTGGATCACAACCCCAAATGTCCCCTGTGCAAAGAAGGGCTCTCGGAGGTAACGAAGCTCAGATGTTCTCAGCATGTATTCAAGAGCACAGAATTAAGATCAAGTAGCAGCTTTAGAAACCCTCCAAACTCAAATTAAGTTTTGTGTAGCTTAAGAAAAAGGTGGCTTCAGATGTCTTCGTGATTCCTTTGACTCACAGAGCTTGGATGGTCTCGTCTGGTCAGACCTTCCCTGTATTTGGGAAGTCTGAGAAAGGAGGGCAGATTGCCTACAGGTTATCTGAGACGACGCCCCCAGCATCAGGAATAGTTCAATAATAACTTCAGTGGTGGTACAAGCTTAGAAAATTGTTTTCATGTGGTGTAGTTTCATAGACATAAGAAAATGGAGCTAACAGATTAGTGCTGTGTGCGTACTTTGAAATGTTAGACACTATCTGTAACTGCCTGTGGTTTTTTTGTTTGCTTCTTGCTGCAGTGCTTGGCAATGAGGAAATACTGCAAAACAGTACTAATGGAGGAGTTAATAGCTAGGTATCTTCCAGAGGAACTCACTGAAAGAAGAAAGATTTATGAAGAGGAAATAGCAGAGCTTTCCAAGTATGTAATCCATTTCCTTAAAATCCTCTTCTGATACGATTACTGTTAGCTAATAAATGGCTCCTGCTGCTGCAGGACACACACACAGATCACAGGATGGCTTGGGCTGGAAGGGAGCTGACAGGATCCAGATCCCACCCCTGCCCCGTGGGCTGGTTGCCACCCAATAGATGCTGACACCAGAGCTTCATCTTTGGTATCAATGATTTAAAGAGAATGGGGTCCTGGTGAAATCATCTGGTTTTTATGCTTACTCAGAGCACACTGTGTTAAAGAATAAACATGAGAAGAAATCTGGGCTGTTGCTGTTTAGAAAAGCTGTAAAGCAATGTGGTTGCTCTTTGTAGCCCTCCATGAAAACCACAGAGCAAGACAGTGGGTGGAAGCAGTGTCTTACAGGCTGGAGGTTGGAAGTTACTGAGTAGGGAAAATTCTAAAGAACATTCTTGCATGAAATGCATGTATTTTATACCTTGTCAGTATTTTGGTAAAATGTCATCTGGTTTGTGTTTTCTTACAGCCTCAATAAGAATGTTCCTATATTTGTCTGCACAATGGCTTATCCTACAGTCCCATGTCCTTTGCACATCTTTGAGCCCTGTTATCGCCTGATGATTAGAAGGTGCATGGAGACTGGCACCAAACAATTTGGGATGTGCATTAGTGACCCTGTGAAGGGGTGAGTGAGAAGCACGTTTGGACCATTTGGTCTACCCCACTTAATCTGGAGCAAGGCTTTTTGGAGAGGTGCAGATGGGCTTGTGCTATGATCATCTCGTAGTTCTCCAGTAGAGGATGTTTCTCTACCAGTTAAAGACATGGAGAATGCTGAGTTGCTCGTCTGAGCAGTTGGATTCTGCCTAATACAGCTGCCTGTTATTCTTGAAGCATATGGAGCTTGTGGGTTCTTGCACAAAGTTGAGCCTCAAACCTTTTAAAGTACATGGACAGGAAGTCCTGTCTGTGTAATGCTTTGTCACACACCATCAAGTTTAAACAGCAGTAAAGTACAGTGGTGTGTGGTTTTTAAAATAGGAAAATAGTTAAACTATTGGGATGCACTTCATGTTGGATGCTGCAGATGTAGAATGGTGTCTTCCTAAGAGCAAGCTGAACATTTGCATTTACAGGCATACGTGCCATTTACAGGCAGTCTTAGGAGCTAGGACCTTAATGTCCATGTTCATCTTTCTTCACTTTTTTAGTGAGTGTACCCACAAGGTATATATGCCATAAAAAGCAGTATGACATGCTCAAAATCCCTACCTGTGAAGTAACATCTGAGAATGTTGGGGAATGAAGGGAAGCTTTTTATTTATAACTTTTATAGTCCTTCTATAGTCCTAACATTGTGAATTGCACTTGTTCTATACAAAATGTCTGAACTTGCTGGAGTTATGGAAAAAGTATGTTTCCAAGCTGTATAACTTTCATAAGAAGTGATCTGTACTCCAAAGCATGTAGTTAATGTTAATCAGCTCTGACAGCCTGAATATTCCTGATAGTTTTGAAAACAATCGTTGAATAATTTGAGCTACTGCAGATCAGTACTATGAACAATAGAAATGAGCTGACACCAGTAAATACCTTTGTGGTAGGCAGTGGCAGTATGGCAGTTCTTTGGAACTAAGGGTGGAGAGAGTAAGACTTGTTTACTTGCTTTTGTTCTGATTTAAATAGGTTTGCAGATTATGGCTGCATTCTGGAGATAAGAAATGTTGAATTCTTTGCTGATGGTCGCTCTGTTGTAGACAGCATTGGCAAGAGGAGATTTAAGGTGATACAGCACAGCCAGCGTGATGGCTACAACACAGCAGATATTGAGTACATTGAGGATCAAAAGGTGAATGCAGAAATATTTAAACTGTATGACATTTGAAATTCTAAGCCCATGTATTTGGTGAACTTCTTCTGTGGACCAGTTTCTAGTAAGCCAGTCTGTGGTATTTCCTAGCTTGTCATGGTTAAAGCTGGGAGATGCCGTAGTTCTGTAATAAAGAAGGTGCTAAATGAACTTTAGCTATTTTCATAATCTTTTGTTCTGAGTTGCATGATGTTTATGAAAAAAATGTTTCACATAGCATTCCAGAGGTGTTTGTCCTGCAAATGTGTGCCTTTGCTTTGGAACATGAGATAAAAAGGGAAGTAATGGATAAATAAGTTTGTTTTTAGGGAAGAAAAAGAAAAGCTAGCATTCCTGATATGTTTTAGAACTCTCTTGGTATTTTTTGCTCTTTTCCTTTGTCCATCCCCACCCCAAAAAGCCCTAAAAACAAACATTGTGCCCTCCCCAGCAGGCAGATCACAGTAACAGTAACCTCCTCCCATCTCATTTCAGGTGCAAGGGCAAGACTATGCTGCGCTGCTTGTTCTCCATGATTCTGTCTACGATCAGGCATATATGTGGTTTAATTCACTCAAGCAAGCACTGAAGAGTAGAATTCTCAGTCACTTTGGTCCAATGCCAGCTAAGGATCCTGACCCACAGGTATTCAGAATCAGTGGCTTATGTAACTCCAGAGACGCAGGTAGCAAGGATAGCTGGGAAGCATCGTCTTCTGTGAGGGGAAAAATAAGAATGTTCATCACTTATCCTGCATAAGCAAAGTATCTGGGTTATGTTGCCATGCACCAGTAGCAGCACTATTGTGAACAGAAAGCTCATACTTAATGTTGGTAACTTCCTGAGAATACTTAACCCACACAATGAATCCCAGGAGATGTAAATGCCTTTTTGCCTACTCTACTTCCCCAATTAAATGAGTAAGAGAAAATAGGGAAGGAAACTCATTACTCTGGCTCAAGGACTGCAAATTACAGGGATTCTGAAAGAACAGAATGTAACAACAGAAATTAAATGTGAAACAAGTACAAAGAAGGGACATAGGTATCCTAAAGAACTGGATCAGCTATTGAATTAGGGAAAAAAATGTAGAAAGCCCAACCTACAGACTTCTTGCTTTAAAAAAAAAGTACAGCTTGGCTGTAGTTTTTGTTTGAGGTCAAGCTGTACTCCCAAGCCGTTTGGCTAGCAGTAAGATACCTCCTTGCTAGTCTGCTATCAAGATGGTGTGTTTTCAGAGCAAACCTGCAAAGCTAAGCCCTAACCATGTACTTGTATTCCAACTTCTGCTTCTTTCCCCTTACTGCAGGCTAACCCTAACGGGCCAGCCTGGTGCTGGTGGGTCCTAGCTGTCCTTCCACTTGAGAACAGAGCCCAGCTCCCTTTCCTTGCCATGAAATCCCTCAAAGACCGCTTGAATGGCATCAGACGTGTCCTTACATTCATGTCTCGTACAAGATCACGGTGATGGTGAGAAGGAGAGCTGTGAAGTCTCCCGCAGTACTTGACTGTAGAGTGTCTCTTGTAACTTCATCTAACTGCAATAATGTCTTACAGATTTGTGTCAGAATGTTTCCAGCCTGAATTTCAGAGAAAATAAGTTAAAAGGAGCAAGGGATGTTTATGGTTACTTTAATAGTTTCCATTTGGAACTCAGTTTCTGAGATGATTATTCAATTACTGCACTGCTAAATTAATAACAAATGTGATAGAACAAAAAGTGATCTTGTTTGCCATAAACCTTTTAAAAAGCTTAAGAGGTTTTTTAATTTATTTTTTTTGTAGTGGGTAAAGGGTGAACTGTGCAGTTTAATGTGAAGCAGAATTAATAATGTTTATGCATTATTTCAATGAACTGCGTGGTCTTTTCCAAATGGTTCAGGTTTTATATAGCATTGTGTATAACAATGTTCACGACTTCCGTTTGATAATTTATTTTTGCACTATGATTTTTTGTTTCAAAATGTGTTATTTATGTGTTCATCCTCTATAGGAAAGTGAGCTGCTCTATTTATAGTGTTTTTATCCTGTATGTACAACTGGGGGGGGGGGAAATGATGATTCTAGCAGTGCACAAAAAACTGCTTTGATCATTTTTCAGCTATTTCTGTTCAAATACTTTGAATGTTTTTCTATTTGTCCCCAGTCCTACTGTAGCCTAAGAAGGCTTTTTTCCTCCCAAAACAGCCTGCTGTGATGTCTTCGAATACACAGACTGAGAGCTCATGCACAGTTGTTGGATCTTGACTCTCTGCTTGTAACTATGGCTCTGATAGCACAGTGCAGCCAAGCGCATCCTTAACCGTGAGTGCAGGTGTCAGAGTGCTTGGCTAAGTCAAGGCATGGATCAGTTGATGCCAGTGGGGATTTGCTGACAGAAGGCTCACCCTTCTAAAAACAAAACTGGAAGTATTGGTGTTTCGTTGTAGATTGACAGATTTTTTTAAATTATTTTTTTTTTTATATTCAACTCTGGTTGCTGTTGAGATTAGCTTCACTTCTGGAGTGTCTGGGATTTGGTTTTGGAGTGTTTGTATGTGGGTGGAGGGAGGGTTATTTTCAACTGTAGGACTAACAGGGCAGTTTGTACCACATGAGAAGGAATATGTTGTAATAAATACTATTTATTTCACCCCAATCTTCAGCTTTCTGTTAGCTTCAAATCTCTGCCCAGCCACTACGCTTCTGTAAGCAGAGATGGGGTAGTGTTGCTAATAGTAGTTAACTCCTAAGGAAAACAAGTGAATTTTTGGATGATTGCTTCTAGCTAATGAGGCAGGTAAAAACAAGGCAAAAATGAGAATAGCATTAATTTTTTTTGCTTTATTTAAATCAACAAGCTGTTTGCACTTTTTACTGCTTTCTGTCTACCAGTTTCTGGAGCTCGTCTTCCATGGGGCCAACTTTGACTTTCATTAATTTCAGTATGGGGGGGAAGGAAAAACAAACAAACAAACTGTTGTGGGATGCTACAATTTTTATTGTTGTTTTTATCCAGGATAGCACTACTGCCCATTCCATGCCTTTGTGGAACAGTGCAGTAGAAATTAATGTCAGTTTTCCATGTGTTTTTTTTTCCTCACCATCATTCTTTCAGGAATGAATCAGGAATATAAATTGAGAGTAATTTCTGTACTGTCAGGTTTCTGTAATATCTTTTATTCCCCCTCTTGTTAAATTTTAAAGGACTTTCCCATAAGGGTACCAAAGAATGGAAGACAAACACAATTCAGCTTTGTTATACAAATGGAATATGTATCCTGTGTTGGCATTTAGCTGCTCTAGAAATGCTACAGCTTGTTTCCATACTGCTAGATTGCTGCACTGCTGGCATCTTCTGTAGGTGGTGCTTTCCATGCTTCTCTCTGAACAATGTATAGAATACATGCTCTGAACAACAACAACTGTATGGTGGCTGAGACCCGCTATGACATTTGTCTTCATAAGTCAAAAGCAGTTCCTACTTGTTCGGAAGTGAAACTGCATTAAATGCCATTCTTCCTTAAACCATTAGGTATTATGCATAATATAAGGAGTCTACATTGCTCCTATAGAAAGTTAGCACTTAGTTCCTTGTATCTGTGAGAAAAGGACATCAGATACGTATTTCATACTGTTTTCTCATTGATCTTGCTGTTCTTTTCCTGCATGTCTTCTACATACTCATTATTTTGTTAATTCAGAAACTGCCATGGAAAGAATCCTCGATTCTATAAGTGAACATTGTCTTTCTTTATTAGACTTGAGTAAAGCTGCCAGAATTTCCTCAGCAGAAACCTGCGTATACATGCACTGTGTTGTGAACCCCAGTGTATTTGGTGTGACTTGGAAACACGAACTACTGCCTACACTGCGTGCAGGTGACCTGCGTAGGCACAGCAAATTGACTCCATCAAGAAATTCAATCTGGGACTGCTGTGTGGCCACACATCCTAGGTTAATGGGTAGTTCATGCATTCCTTCAGAGGAAAAAGATCCTGAAACAAGTTTCTGAGAACACAAGCCTGCCCAGTAAAAGCTGGACAAGGAGTAGCCTTAGCCTTCAGTGAATTGGCGTGGTGGTTTCAGTAATGAGCTTTACAAACACAACTTCTAGTTATGCTATGCTATGGGTGATTTCAGTTGTATTAATTGGCACAAAGTTATAAATGCAGTATTTATTACAGGCATAAATAAACAAACTGAGCAGACTCAAACACCTTCACTTGAGTTATAGAAACTGCATTGGTTACATCTAACTGGGGCTGGTATTTTATTGATGCTTCATTGCATTCTTGGCACCTGTTTTATTTCAACCACTCTTGCTTTTATTTATTAAAAAAAAAGAAAGAAGGAAAAAAAACCCACTTCTTGGATTTACATTTCCTCTGTGGCTAGAAGTAGTGATTACTCTCTTGTCATGAAGCCATAAGTAATGCATAGGCTTCCTGCTACTACCTTCATGGAAAGTCATTTCCTTTGACCCTAAATGACTGAGTTAGGATTACTAAAATCAGAAATTATTCTATTTTCATAGAAATGTGATCAGTCTTTTCTGTGATGGAGAGTTAAGTTAAGCCAATAATAGAATGATCCAAGCAAGTGCTGGTCTCCTGCTGGATATGGTGGTGAGCCATCCAGGCAGCTGGAGACCTCCTGAAAGTGATAGGCTTGCATTTGTGAGATATACTTTATGTATTTGAAATCTCTTCATGCTTCTGTAGGTGAAAGATTATAACAAAATACATCAAATAGCAAAGGCTGGCTGTATCACCTTTCCAACTTTTTCTGCACATATTTACCTTCTAATTAAACAGATGAGTTTTCTGGAGGAAATTACACCAGCTTTCCCACTTACAGACTTCTCTAATAATGTTGACTTACGTTGCCTTGTATAGGAGAGGTTTCTGTGAGAACAGCTGTTACCTTGGCATGGAGAGCTTTGACAGTAAACCTGAGGTACAGCTGGATTATCAGGTTAAATTGTGCAATCTGACAGTGAGCTCAGACACAGCTGTAGAGTGTAGTTTATTAGTATTAATAATTACATTATAAATTGGTGTGATAAAATCTAATTGATGGTTTTAGTTCCAGTTGATGCTAAAACAGTGTTAGTTGCACAGTCTTCTTTTTTCATTTTTTCTTTAAGTGCTGATCTCTTCCATGAGTGGTAGCAATAAGAGGCAAGCTGGCACATTGCATGGCTGACCTTTGCTTCTCTCCTGTGCTGCTGCTTGTGAGCAGAACACCTGAACCACAGATTTCTTTACCCAAACTTTATTTTAATTAAAGTCATTGAGATTTGGATGCAGCAGGTTTCACCTGCACTGTAAAGGAAGAGCTTTATGAAATTCTTTATTTAAACAGTCTTTTGATGAATCCTGCTTGGTGCTGAAGTTTTGCTGGTGTTTAAATTAGTTGTGCTGAAATGCAGTGCTTAGGAATGGAGGGCACATTCACAAGCTTACTTTTAAAAAATACATGTAAATTAATTGCATTTTTCTTATGCATACCAGCCCCACTGGAACTGTATGCACTTAGGGCAGTGCTTTCCTGTCCCCTGAGCCCTACGTTAGGTGAAAGCAAAACAGGGGCTGAGCTTCTGTTGTCAGTTTTGCAGCCTGACTTGTAAGTAGTGCAGCATGCCCTCAAGATCTGGTGGTCTGGGGCTTAGTCCAAAGCAGCTGAAAATCTTCTAAAGCTACAGCAAGGTGGTAGTTCAGTCAAGTTGTGGTTCTGAGATGCTTTGTTAAATAAATATGGTCTGGGTACAAGAATGAACCTGCTTTGTCAGGATTAAAAAGATGGGTAATACTTTAAAAATAATAACAGTTAAAAAAATGGAGCTATTATGTTGACTTACTCATCCAGGTGTCATGCGAATTGCTTACGAAGAGTGGAATTTCCTAAGGTCTAAAGTAACCCTCACATAGAAGTGCCTGTATTCTGTTATTGCCATTCTTGAGCTTTTTAAGAGAGTCACAGCCATATATTTTATAAAATATGAGCATATGCACCTTTCAACCTTTAAATTTGCAGAACAAAGGTTTACAGAGCAGAAGTGTAGCAAAACCAATGTACTAGCTTCTGTAATTCCCTGGTGGGGGATGGAGAAGTACAAAAATGGGGAGGAACAGACTATCTGTATAAGATGTCTTAATTTGGCACCATATACTCGTCCAATTTAGTTCCATCAAGCTACGTGGTTATAAGAGTGCCAGAAATATATCTCTCAAGCCATTCTAAATAAAAAGCTCTTTGTTGACCTGTATATTCCATTTGTTTGTAAAACATCATTTTTTGTGCACTGTAACAAACTTGAAATGAAACTCTCATACCACTGAACAGAGCACTGTTCAGCTACCTCAACGTAAGGTTGAAGTACTTTGTTTTTTTTCCAGATTTGTTCACATTGTCATATAAAATATTTAAAAAAAAATTCATAGTCCAAAGATCCTGTATTTGTTTGTAGATGTACTTACAATTATGTTGTACCAACAAAGTCTGTGTGAAGCGTTGTTTGCTAATTAAAATTTTTGTGTTCTTTACTCTTTGGCTTGCATAACAAAGAACATCAGGTGTGAACCACTGTGACACACGAGCTGGTTTTTTTAGGTGCTTGAGAAAAAGGAACAAAGAACAGATCCTAGGTTCTGCAGCCACACAGCACAGTCTGATGTGAAGGGAGGAACCCACAGGAAGGAAGGCGGTTGCCCAAAACTCAGCCTTTGTAAGGGACCTCCAGAGCACTTTCAATCTTTGCAGTTAAAGAAAATGGGCAATGGGAAGTGCTGAGAGCTGGCTTCCAGCACTGTGTGTTTCAGTGCCTCCTGGCCTGTTTGCTTTAGTGAGTTGCCTCTGTTTCTGTGATTGAAAACAATAGCCAGGCTGCCTTCCATGTGCAGCCTCGTCCAGGAAAAGCGAGCCCTAGCTTCTTGTTAAGCTGTGCCTGTGAACCCATGACAACATGACATTCAGCTAGAAGCTCCATAGTGCTTTTGAAGTCCCCAGCTTACAGAAGAAAGCTGAAAAAGAGGACTTTTGCTCATAAACCCAAGATTGAGAGAACAGCTCCACAGTTTATCCCACTGAAAATGTGCAAGAGTTGCCAGAGTTTAGCTTTTAGAGATAGGTAAGGGCTGCTCCTTTGCCTCGTCACCGAACAAGCTGTGTGCCGTGGCTGAGCTCTGCTGCTCCAATCCTGTCACCTGTAGCACCAGGGATCACCTCGCTGCTCTCTTATGTAAGCTTGCTCAGGTACTGCATTTATTTTAGAATCCGGGGCACAGCCTGAAGGCTGAATTTAGTAAGCCAACAGCTAATTATGTCAGGACTGCGGTTTCCTATAACAAAAATTTGAATCTGAGCAGGGAACTATTTTGGTTGAAATGCTTTTCCATCAAGAAACAGCAGAAGCTGAAGCTTTGCTTGGGAACACGGCAGATAAATTATTCCTTTCAGTTCTCAGTTTTAATTCTGAAAGCCTTAATTAAGACTGGCTTTTAGTTGTACTTTAAAGCAGAAAATAAATAAAACAAATCTAGGGTAGCAAATGTATTTCCCAACTCTATTTGTTCAGCACGCTTTAGAAGAGATTTATTCAACGGACTCGTGAAGTATTCTGAAGTCAATTAATGTGTCACTTTAAAATGATGATCAAAAAGCACAAGCAGGGTAAAGCAGTTCCTGGCAAAGGACTGCCTCCTGTCAGCCGTCAGTGCCTCGCGTGGTTCCTAATGCCGCAGCCATGGTGGCTGGGCTGTGATCAGGGCCTGGCCCACAGCACTGCCTGGCTGTTCTGCCATCACTCTGGGTGTCCGGGCATTAAGCTGTAACGTGCTGTTAGTTCTCTTAGTGAAGTGTCACAGAGTGCTGGGACGTCTCCCAGTGTGCTGTGGTTTTCTGTAGAACCGAGCTAAAGCACTGCAATGTTTCTGTCTCCAAACGTGAGGCGCACTGCCTGCCGCCATCTTGGCCGCCTGCGCAAAGGGAAAACAGAAACTTAGGTTGTGAAGGACTGTGTGGCTGGGCTTTGTTGTCGCTGTCGTTCTCAAATCTGTGCTGCTTTCAAACTGAGCAAATTTTCTATCAGCAGCCACTCCAGAAATCGCACAACAGAACAGACGAAATGGTTCTTCCTAGTGGGCAGTAATGTCACCTGGCCTTCTTCCCCAGCTGTATTATAACTAGCCGCTCTCTGAAGCTCTACATTGATGGAGGCTACCTGAGAACCAGAGCACCATCAAAGAGCAGGGTTTGCCATGCGTAGCCCTCAGCTGCCACACACTGAACGGTTTACCTCTTCTCATGGCCAGCTTTCAGGTTGTTAAAGCAAAACTGACAGCCAGGGTGAGCCGTTGCTAGCAGCCTTGTGCCAGCAGGGCATCTTCTCTCACGGTAGATCTGCTCTTGACTTGTAATGCTATAAGTGAAAGGAGAATTAAGCTATTTATGTAAGTGACTTTATTTATATAACTGACTTACGCTGTATTATATGATGAAGAAGGAAGGAAAAAAAAAAACGTGGCTTTTTTTTGTCTTTTCTACGATCCACAGGAAGATTTTGTAAAAGTAACTCTAGTAATAAATGGTTTTCTCTATGCGTTTGATGAGAAGTTCAGCTTCATCTGCATGGAAGCTTCAGCATGCAGAGGAAATGTGGTAATAGGTGGCACAACAATGTGAAAGGATTTTAGCAGGTCTGCAGACAGTCTAGAAAATCTGAATTCAGAACACCACCATTTAGACTGTAAGCTCGTTCAACAAAGCAATTAGCATTCAGTCTCTTCCATGGATGACTCAATGATTTGCGCTGTGACTATTAGTACTGAACGTACCATCTGAAATTTGTTTTGAAGGTTTAGTGAAGCATTCACGATTTAAACACGGTTTCTACAAGTATATTTTTTTTAATCAATGAAAAGCCCAAGCTCCACCATGGCTGAAGAACATACAGAAGAGTTTTCAACAGAGATGAATTCGTTTTCTTTATGCTTGACGCTGTTTTTCACTCCCGAGTGAACGTCGGCTATTTAATATTTGGGAAATCAGGGTCAGTAGAGTAAACGTTTCTGTAGCAATTTGGCAGACACACCTTTCATAACTCATAAAGTCACTCCTGGAAAGGCACAACTGGGTCGCAGAAGTGCATGGTGGGATGCTGCTTTCCAGTTATGCAACCAGGGTAACTAGAGGTTAGAGAAAGCAGTTGAATAATGAGCTTTTTGCCAGAAAGAAGGGAAGAGAAAAACACAGTGTTTTTAATGCTGGCTTCTGAGCAGCAGCTCCTAATGTGTCTGGTTAGGAGTCATCAAACCGAAATAGAACCGAATGCGTCACAACTTTGAAGAATGGCAATTCACATCCCCAAAGAAAAATACATCTGCTTGTATTCCAAAAGCAAATCCTACCAGCTCTGCGATTCCCATCGATGATGCTAGAGCCACTGGCAGCATGCTGCTCAGCTTTTCTCCCAGCCCGTGTCACTGCCTTCATCACTCCCCTCTGCTCTTTTTACTGTATCCATCATCCAGTAGCACCGTTGCCCTTAGGGAATCTCACATTTTGTGTGCACCATTTTTATCGAAGCTGAACACCTCTATGTCCCTGACATCTCGTAGCACCTTCACTTCTCCCACACTTTCTTTCCTGTTTTTATGTACTTTACTGGATTATTTCTTAATAAATATAATGAGTGAGGAATTCTTACACTGTTTCTTAAAAAAGAAGAGAGAAAGGAAGTTGTCTTTCTGCACCATGAAGATTTTCCAAGGTTTGGAGGGCCAGGATGTGGCCCAAGGGCACCAATTAGCACATTAACTAACAAATAGCTCCCATAGAGTCTGGGGATATTAGTTACTAAAAGTGAATCCTGCACTGCAAAGAGACTAAATAAAACGGTGCTTTTAACCACAATTATATCTCCTGTTACAGCTGCACACCAGATAAATATATTAATCAAAATGACCTCATTTTAGGCATGAGTAGCAGTGTGTTATATAACCGTGTTAAGTATGCTGTTTTATTTCCCTCCCGCCAAGGAGAAACGGTGTTTGTCTTACAAGGGTTCCAAATAAGTCTCGTTATAAAAGGATGGGGGAAAGAACGGGAGGAAGAGACGAAAGTGGGGGAATTAGTAAGCAAAATGACTCATTCCCCGAGAGCAGAGGTGATGCTACACTTCACTGTTAAATATTAGTTGCTCTGTAGGAAGCTGATGTTGTCATAAGCAGTCTCAGTGCTCCACATATGCCCAGCATTTCTCTGGATGGGAAAAACAGATGTGTTAGAAGAACGGAAGCGCCTTCTTTTCAGACCTCTCAAACAGTGACCTCAGCTTACAGCGTTCCTTGTTCTGTTTCCAAAGCTGTTGGTGAATGCTGCCCCCAGAAACGAGGGGCTCGCAGCATCCCCTGCCATCCTTTTTGTTCTTTGGAGAAAAGTCTTCTTTCCTGGTGCTAATAATCATGCTTTAAACAAGCTCACAAGCACCCTGAAAAGTAGACTACATCCCCCCACACACATAACAAGGCCAAAACTCATCTGGATTGATGCTGCAGTGCAGCAAAAAGGACGGAGAGGCGTACATTTTTGCAATATAAGATCACTCAGGCAGAGAACTCCGATAAGCGCTGAAAATGTGAAAAACAAATGGCAGGGTATGCATTTCCCATTTGCTTAATACACACACATAAAAGAAACACTGTGTAGGCTTCACTGCAGCATGCCAGTGCATCCAAAACTCAAAGGTTAGTTACATAAATGATAAGGCGTGGGCTTAAATGCTTCATTCAGCTTGTTAATTACTTGCTTTGTGGTCCGAGCCAACATTCTGAAACAGGTTCACCCAATATTGTGTTGCTTCCTCTTCATTTTCAGTTAGCGTATGAAGCTGAAGTGCTGGGAACGATTTGTTGCAGTACGTCGGGAGAGTCTCTTCTTTTCTAGCAATTCACAGAACAAACTTACTCAAACTCATCCACAGATGCTCTTTAAATGTCTTCCTTATTTCGGAGAATGATGAGATTTACATCTTGGAACATTCCTTTTAAACGGGGGAATTGCTGGCTCCCATGAGCATATCTTTATAATTGACATTTTATGTTTCAGTAGTTTCTTCTTTGTACCCTTTTTAAGCACGAGGAAATGAATGGCAGCCCATTAGAGAACTCTGACACACATACTCACCGTATCTCTGGCAGAAACGTTGTAGAAGCTCTGTCTTAATAGTAGATGGAAATAAATACTTCCATCTTCAGTTCAGTGAGCCGAGACACCAGCTTGGTCGATGCCATGGGGAGAACAATTGGTCAGAGCCAAACGGCCGATCCAAAGAAAGGCAGACCACCACTTATTTCATTATGTGCAGGCAGAAACCAGAGATGCAGAATTCCGTATCCCCGTGGCAATAAATCATACTGCATCTGGAGCAAACAGTAATTATGCCACAAGGCATCTCATCAAGGTTGTACCTGGGAACTGCATCTAAGATTTACTTCAAACAACAGGTCTGTTTTAAGAGCGGAACTGTGTAACTTGCCTTGATTTCATCAGGGTATGTTTGCAGACATCTCAATTTCCTACTCAGAATGTTGGATGTTACATGAACATGAATATGTTTTAACAGCTACAATGAAGTGGAAGCAAATATTGTGGAAGTTTTTCACTCCCAACCTTTTAAGAGACGCTAACTCACATCCTTTAAACCTCACCTTCTTATTTCTACATGAAGGCAGCATCTTTCTCCTCTATAATAACGTTGCCAGTTAGAGATTTCTGAGTCACAAATGCAGATTAGCATTTGGATCTGAATTACAAGTCTTGAAAACTGGAGGTTGGCTGAAAGAGAAACCTCATCGAGTCAATCCTATGGACTAACTGCAAAATACAGATTGCAGCTGCAAATCTGGGCTGAAGCAATCTGGTTGTGTGCAGTGCTGCAGGAAAGGTGATGAGATGTAGCTCCTTGCCTTGCCAGTCTACATATAACCTTTCCACATCATTCTCTGGATGTTGCAGGAACGTTGCTCCCAAAGTTACTCATTCCCTTTGTTTCCACACTTCAGATTATTTTCCCTGCTGGTACTGTCCTGTTTTACTTTCCTCATTTTGTTCAGTCCTGCCCATGGGCCGTATCATATCCTCCCATCAATATTTCAGCAGAATGACTCCCAGTTGGAATCAGAATGGATTACTGCTGAAAAATTGATAGCACAATATGGCCCCGCATTTCTGTTCCTGTGCACCTGTTCCTCTTAAGCTACAGTTCCTCTGCCTTTAATACTTCCATTCTTCAGATTGCTCAGAACACCAGTGTATTCTTAGCTGTATTTAAATGATCAAATGAATACAATTTCTAAATTAGACCGCACATAAAAATGCCTTTTTTTGTCACCAAGTGAAGCTCAACTGCACAGTTTAGCAGATCTCACCATACAGATCACTTTTGTCTTCAGGCTAAACATTGTTTCTTCAAATTGAAGATGAAAACCGCAATTAAATATAGGCCACAGATGTTCAGGATGCAGAGGACAAAAATATAGGTTTCATAACTTGACAGTTATGCAACCAGTTGCTTTTCACATATTAAAACAAACATTTAATTTTATGCTCTTATTTGCCTTTAATCTAAACACACATACCAAAAAAACCCCAACAACCTGTGAACTGTCTTTAAAATGGTGAGAATTTAAAGAAAAAATGATCTTATTTTAATCATTGCTAATTACTTTTCCTCACGATCTTCATTGTTTTCTAATTTAACTTCAGATCCCCCAGTACTCAGACAGCCAGCTGTCCATCAAATCTCCGAGGTACCTCCATAATGCCAAGGATGTAAGCTCTAATCGTGCTGTAGACCTGGTCAAGGCAAGATTACTTTTAAATGCAATTCCCTTTACCTACTGAATCTCATTCTGAGCATCTATCCCAACAGCCAGAGCCCTCCATGCACCTCTCACCCAACACAGCACACCAGGTGTGCCAGAGATGCGATGCTTACAGCAGCAGGATGAAGACGATGGGATTTAATCCCTTTGCAGATAAAAACTAACGGAGGACTAAGCACATTCTGTATTTATATAAAAATCCTTTTCTTCAACTTAGCCTCCCTCTAGTAAATCACACATTAATTCTCTTATGCAAAAATAAAGAAGCAAACCAGCAGAACATTTGCTGAATGTAAATGCATAAATGAGAATTTCTTCTTACGACCACTGATACTTTATTTTGTACGTGTAGGGAGGCTTCATGTACAAAATTGCACTGCCTGTCCACCATCTCCAGTAAGTTTGGAACTGGGGGCTGGTTTTCAACCAATTTTGCAGAGATTTCTACCACCCCCTCTATATGACAGCAAACTTGCAGATTTGACTCCTCACATCCTCAGGAGACACTTGAACACTTTGGCAATAGCAGCACAGTTCACTGAATGAGAAATACAAACAGAAAAGCTTGTTAGGGATTTAGCATTTTTTTTTGTTAAACTAAAGTCAAAACCTGTTATCGTTAAAATAAAAACAATAATAA